CTCTATTTTGTAATAAGTAGTCTTGATCCATTTAGTTAATATTGTAATATCCATTACTATCATTCACCTGATATCTGCAGTCAAGGATTGGAATAAAATAACAAGCTGGGGTCTGAAATAAAACCTTTTGCTGAATCGGAATGAATCACAATAAATATTTTTCCATCATAACCACCTGGTTTACGTAAATTTCTGCTGTTGTCGTCCTGCCACATCATTTTATTTCTCCTAGTAAAAATCCATGTTCATCTAAAAATACAACTTCTCGTGGATATGTACTATTTGTGCTTTCCATATATTTACATAAGAAAGACGCTCATTGTGCTGCGATATGAGCTTTCAATTAAAGCTCTTCGATGATCATTTTTTTTTATTTAAAGCCCAAATGGAAGATTAGCATGGGGATACAAACTGATTTAAAAAAGCAGTTTTCCTCTACAGTGGCTCTTTTAGAAACTGAATAAATAATTTTAACGGACAATGCACTTTATATTACAGTTATTTCAATAACTATAAATAAATTAGTTATTTTTTGCACCCTTCTTTTAATTCCTTAACATATGAAGTAACAAACAGTACATAAATGTAGGTATCATGTTAAGACTCCACTATATCATTGCAAAATAAATTCCGATCGAGTTGATATGGACACAAGTAAATAATGAGGTAGCGAGTATGGCACCAACAATCAAATTGATTAAAACAATGCCAAATGTTATTTAGAACAAGACATACAATCTGTAACTATTTCTAACTGGTGTCCTTACAAAGACTTCTCCAACTAAAATAAATTTACAAACCACCAATGAACTGCAATCGTCTCTCGTCACAGATCTCTCTAGATTCCATCATGTTAAAATGACAATCTGACAATTCTATTGAATTTCGAGTATAAAAATAGCATAAAAAATTCAGTCTCATAGTATTATGCCACACAAAAACACATGCCGAATACATACCCTATTATCTTATCAAAATGTCTAAGCAGAACCTTCAATTTTTCATCTGGAATGTTTGTGGAAGTAAGCAGATCTGGTAACTTCACAAAAAGCCTTAGCAAATGCGTCGCTCCGTACACCAAACAAGGCGCAGGAGGTTGCTGGTGATATACATGGTCAGGGAAGAATTTTCCACGTCAATGTTTTGGACAAAGGACCTGCGATGTCAGAATTGCTGCTAGTGACACTAAAAACAACAGAAATACCATATACAGTCATATCAACAACAATGTTAACAACTAAATGTACCTTGAAGCTGGTTTTGGGGTGTTATTGTTACAATTATTTTCTCTAGGGGATGCATTTCCATTTGCTTGAGAATCGCTTCTGTTTGATCTCAGTGTTCGTCGTCTGGCTGTTATTTTATCAGTGTCGTTGCCATTTTCTGTGAGGTAAGTACCGTTATTGAGTTTACTATTCAAATCTTCCGATTTCAGTCTAAAAAGAAAAATATCTTTAGTAACAATTATAAAGTTAATGATAATTCTCTGCAATTTTGGCGATATATCAAGGGTAAAACTAAAAATAGAGATATACCACTAACCACTACTAGTGGAATATGAAAAGCATCAGATGGAAAGTCCAGTCTGGAATGATTTAATATAACATTATCTTTTATCACTCAACAAGAAATCTATAGCATATTTTCCCATTTAAATGTAAAAAAAGGTGCTGGTCCGGATTCTATTCCACTACTGTTTTTGAAGCAATTTGCTTTAACATCTGTATCTACTGTTCAACCAACAAATGGCACCAGCACACTTCCCTGAGGGGCACAAATATTACAATGTAGTTCATCTGACATAGCATCCTTTATTCTGGACCTTTGTTTTGTTCATATAGTCCATTATCCAAAGCATGCACTCAACCACAAAATCCATATCCCATTAATTTAGTATGTAAGATATTCCTATCAATGGTGTCAAATGCTCTCTTAAAATTAGAGAATATTACTACTATATTTTTATCTTGGATGACCTCGGATGAATGCGAGATTATTAACACCATCAAAGAGCGCAAACTAGAATATCTTGGCCATGTTATGAGGAATGAACAGAGATACGGCTTGTTGCAACTCATTCTTCAGGGCAAGGTATTTGGAAAGAGAGGACCAGGTAGAAGAAGAATATCTTGCTTCAAAACCTGAGAAATGTGGTTTAATACATCGACAACCGGACTATTCAGAATAGCAGCAAGCAAAGTTAGGATAACCATGTTGATCCCCAACATCCGTGAACAGATAGGCACTGTAAGAAGAAGAAGAATTGTAATGCTGTCTCAAATGGATAGTTTCCACGATAACCCATCTGATTGCTAAATAAAATGTGATTTCTGGTAATATGCTCTAAGATTTGATGATATACAATCAACTCAATGACCTTTTCCATTGGATGTAAAATATTAATACAAAAGAGTTCCCTAGCTTTGATATTATTTGTTGTCTTAGGAACATATGGACTGTAGTGAAATATGTCCTCACTTTAATTAATTCCAAGCTCATTAATAAAAACTGCATACAGTATCCATCACCATTTGATTGAGAAAAACTTGCTTTATTGCTCAATCGAATTTTTAAATCTATTTCTCTTTTTTCTCTTCTCTATTTTCTATTTTTAAATCTCATTTAGTACTGTCAATTTTTGTATATTAATAAGGAATGTACTTACACAGGTACTATCTTTAACATTGACGAATGAAAATACTATTTTGTTTATGTTTTGTCCCCTTCATTGCAATCACATTGCAATCAAATATAATTGCATGAGGAACAATACATATGTAAAAGGATGATAGAAAGGTAATTTATATTGAGTTAGAATGGTGAAAATGATTAAATAAAATATACAAATAAGATATACTTACTCCATCTTTACATCGCCATTATCTAGTTGAGACACAGCCTGTTTGATTGCTATTTGACCAACTTCTTGTTTATACAACAATAAGTCACTCAATGTGAAATCAAAATAAATCCTTAAACCATCTAATACTTCTCTACATATGGCCAAACTATAAAAAACATGAAATTGTTAGGTAAACATTTGTACAAATGTTTGAAAAATTAAAGTAGAACATTTTTCAATAACAATAGACATATCATTGTCAACTTTTCTTACTGCTTCTTTAACAAGACATAACTACAAGCTAAATATGCAAAATACAAGAGCAGGCCAGATTCCTCCAACAATATTCAAAAAATCAACAAATTCTTTTTTCAAAAATTGCTAGAAAATACTATTAGGAATATATAGAATGAGTCCCTAGAAGTAGGTAGAGAAGAGTGGAGCACTACAAGAGGTCAATCCATCCTTTCAAGCGGACCAGGTGACAGCAGCCTTTTACTTTATTAACCTTTTCTAGAAAGCATATTGTTTCAACTGGATGTCACTCATATTTCGAAAACTATTGCACTTATCAAGATGAACCAAAGATTTTACTCTTTAGATGTCTCTCTATGGTCGGTGTTATAATGAAAAATATTCATTGTTATTTCAAAAAGTAACAACTAAAAATACAAAAAAGGGTTGGGAAATTCAAAAGTCTGCCATTTTCTTTATTTTTCGGTGAAAATGTTTTATTGTAGCACTCACCCAAGCCAATTTGACATATGATATGAAACCATTTTGCTTTTTTGCTTTCAGATTATTTGTTTCCAAGAAATGATGACATCCATCAATAAATTGGATGAATTTCGGCAGCCATTTTCAGAGGCGCCATTTTGAAAACAAAAAAAATTGAAAAATGAAAGGCAAATATCGAGCAAAATTTTAACAATAAATCTTGCCCAAGTACTTTTGCTTACTACAGCATCTTCAGGGGCATTTCGTCAAAATTTGACGTTTGACAAAATGCCCCTGAAGATGCTGTAGTAAGCGAAAGTAACTCTGGCAAGATTTAATTGTTAAAATTTTGCTCGATATTTGTCTTTTCATTTTTCAAAGTTCATTTATTCGAGCATTCAACCTTATATCCAAAAAAAAAAATTGTTCAGGTAATTTGATGTATGTACTTTCACCTGTAAAAAGTTTTTATTTTCAAATATCTCTTGTCCTATAAATAAAATTTATTAAAAAAACATGGTTTTTGAAGAACCTGGCATTTAATGGCAGCACCTGGTTTTTAAATCATGAAATTACATATTTAAAGTAAACTGTTCCTTACTTTCTTTGTATATCTTCAGGCTTTGGTTTCACACTATTCTGATTTATTGATTGAGTTCTATACCTCCCAGTTGACTTCTCTGTAAGCCCACAGATCTGATTGGTTGCATAATGTCTATAATAAGATTCTAAAATAGTTGCAATATTTGGTTCTGCTGGTAACTTCATTAACTAAAACAGAATACAAATAAGTATTTGATTGTATGAGGATCTAACTATTGAAGTTTCACCTTATTTTTTTCTTTAATCAGGTAATAGTCATTCTCTATTATTTTTCTAAGATCTGCTGTTAATTCTATGTAAATTGCTTCATCTTCAGTGGAAGAATCATCTTCTGAAGTGCTGGTTATACCTATAATTGCGAAAAATCTTTGTTAATCTGACTTAAGATGGTTATTACTAATCAAAACCATTGATAAATACATATTCCACAAAATATAACAATGTGTGAAAATAATTCCTTTAAAATATGCATCCAATTTAAAACACCTAAATGAAATAAAGAAAGCACATACTAATTCATAATATAATATAAGCTTCAAACCCATTCAACTGAAGCATTATTCTCAAAATTTTGACCTCAATTAGCGAAAAAAAACATTATTTAAATTAATTAGCATTGATGGTTGATATTTGCAATGATTAAAACATCAAAGTGAACCATTTCTAAAAATAACAAGCTTATTTTCAATATAAACATAAACATATTTTGGCATCAAAATAGTTTATTAGATTTTACATTTATCAAAGCTATTCATTATATCTGTTTAACCTACAAACAAGTTGTATATAAAAAAAAATTCAAACATTCAAAATAAAGCTCACTTAACATTTTCCTTACCTTGACCATCATCTGTATCCATTCTTCCTGGACTACTAGAACTACCACCATCTTCTGAAGCAGAAGCTCTGTCACCAGGCTTTCTGTTCTTTTTCCTTTCCTTCCTATATAAATATGCTCCCCTAAAAAAGACCTACATGTTGATCAATTGATTACAACAGATAAGATAAACTAATAAAATGATACTTTACAGTTGTAACTGTGCTTTTTCTGCCAAATCTTTTTGCAACTGTCTGTTCTCTGGGGTGTCCTTTAACACATATTCCTCTCCAACACACCTATCCCAGGAAGAATTCCAGCCCTAATTAAAACAAATAATAAAAACATAAAACACGGCACTTTCAAACATTGAAAACTTAATTTTAAAACTATTTTACATTGTTAAATATGGACAGTTCAGTTTTTGTACAGTTATAACAACTTGTATACATAAAAGAAGAAGTCTATTGTATGCATATCAGTTTCTACATAAATTAAATAAAAAGTAGACACTTACAAAAAAGATTAACTATCAATGAAAACAAAAACCTATAAACGAAACTTACTTGGAAGTGAATCAAGTACTCTATGTTCTTTCTTCCTCTATGGTCCTTATTGATAACAATATCCAGTACCTGATAAAACATTTAAAACAAAAGTATTGATTAACGGACAACTAACAGAAAAGCGTAGTTGAGGTTATGCATACCTTTGAATCATACAAAACTTTAGCCTTTGTAGGATCTGGTTCGTAGCACAACACCCTTTCGCCTTCAAAAAATTTTAGTTTCAATCCTCGCGTTGAGACCATATCTTAACTTAAAAATGTTTATTTATAAACAAACAACACACTGGCTGTCTCCCATTAACGCTTTATGTCCAGCATGAACTTAGCTGCACATAACAAAACGTCCACCGTCCACTTGTCAATAAGTGGAGTTTTCCATTGTGTTTTCTCAAATAGTCAAGGTTTTTGATTTTTAATAAGGCATAGCTAATTTAAAATAACATAAGGGTGGTTTTAGAGCAACAACATATTGGCTGACCTTCATATTAATTAGCGGCTTTTTGCAAATGTAGGCAACTTATAGTTCAATGTTGCAGTGTTGCCCGAGTTCCAATATTTCCTTAAAAATTAATTGAAGGACAGATTAATTTTTTTTTGCAATTCAAACCACTCAATATACTTAGCTTGATAGCATTGTTTCATCATTTATTTGTGTTCCATTATAACCTAGAGACTTGTCATCATCAGCTCCATCATCTTCCGTAACACTTACATCGATCACAATTCCATCATGACTTAAAATTTCGAACTCTTCATCCAATCTATTGCATATTAACCACTCTATTAATTATTTGAGGGGCTTTTAGGGGGAAGCCCATGGTTTAAAGTAGTTAACTTTTTTGCATCTTTTTTGGAGTCCCAAAATAGATATTTTCTGCAAAATTAACTTGTTCGTATAATTTTTAGGGGTAAAATTTCTGACAACTGGACTAATAGTGCTATAGTGTCTCCCAGAGCATTGCTTACTTGGTTACTTAATTCATATACGTCTACGATATCTAGGTTTTTAAGTTAACTTAATTGGCTTCTTCTTTGTAACAAGTTTCGTTCTTTCTATCTTGACATTTATTACTATTTTTTATTTCAAAGTTCGCTATCCACTGAAATCAACATCCACTATCTACTGAAATATTAGTCAACACACTCACGTCTTGGACTATTTCTTTTCCATTAGATAATAAATATAATCCATTTTATGTCTATAAAACATATTCCTCAGATAGTAATCTAAATCAAGGTTCAAAAGTTATCTAATGTGAGATATCAAAAAAATGGTACACCCCAAGGCTCGGTAATCAGCCCGCCGCTTTTCCTTATAGCTATTAATGATATAATCAAATCAATGAACAAACCCACTCAAGCGAGATTGTACGCGGATGATCTTATAATATTCCTTAATGGAAACAATATACAGAGTATGGACAAGTTACTACAAGATCAACTCGATAAATTTATAGCATGGTCTAAAAGGAGTGGTTTTCAATTTTCTTCATCTAAAATTCGCTGCATCATATTCTCAAAGAGACCAAAACCGATAAAAGAAATACCTACCTACTAAGTTCTCTAGACATCATTCAAAATCTATTCTTTCCATCCTGTGGCCAAACTTATTAGACAAGAATTGCTCATCCTAAAACACAGAAACATTGCTTTCCTGTGGGTGCCATCTCATATTGGAATCGAGCTGGCGGATAAATATACACGAGAAGCTTTAGAGGACACAACTATTGAGTTCTATTCAAAAACTCCAGCGACAGATCTCAAATCATATTTCTACAGCCAAATAGTCAACATATGGAATAGCAGATGGCACAAAAAACTTGAGAATTACTTGCAAAATCATTTGAGATAAAACCAATATTTCAACCATGGTTTGATAGGTCCACCAATCGTTTTTCTCAGGTTATCATCACACGACTGCGGCTTGGTTATAGTCGCCTTACGCATGGGCATCTGATGACAAGGGATCCCCAAACACAGAGTTATGCTTGCGCTTGCGAGACTCCGCTAACAGTAAAACACCTTCTAGTGGAGTGCCCGTTACACAATGCAGAAAGATGTAAATTCGGAATCCCGGAGAATTTGAAAGGACTATTCTTAAAGTGCGGTGCCAAAGTGGTTGTCCAATATCTAAAAGCAATAAACTATTTATACAAAATTTAATTGTTACTCTATTCAATTATTGTTAATACTTTTTCTTTTTTCGCTAATAGCCATACAGGCTGATGTGAGATTTGTAAATAAAAAAAAGATTCGAAAGTGCTGTACATGCATCATTTATTGAAAATCGTGCAACGCTGTATTACATAAACATTTGATCAATTATCTACTATAATATAATCTTTAATGTAAATTTTTTAAAACGATTTCTGTATTGGAAATCTAAATGTCAATGTAAAACAAGAATAAACGCTATAAGCGTCTATATTTTTGGTAAAACGTCGAAATGTATTCTTAATACAATTAATTGTGGTTTATTTACATATAAATTAATATCTTGTAAAATAATTAGCTATGAATAATTTTTATGAAAGTTGACCCAAACAGGTAAAATCAATAGTATTGAATATTAAATCTGTAAATAATATATAGAAAGATTAAATCACTAAATATTTTTGGAACTTCGTTTATGCAACTAACTTCACATTACTTAATAAACATACTTGAAGGTCGGCCTTTGGTAATTAATTACTGATTTTGCCATGTTGCCAGCTTTGGATAAATAATTCTTTTCTTGTCGATTTCAAACGCACTTTTCTGACATCGACTAAATTAAAACGTCCTTTCGGCTTTAAAAGTTGCGTATTACTATAATCGACTGCATAACAATACCTATAAACAATATTCATACAAAATAGATGACAAAACCTTTTTAAAATCGTAATATTATTCACAATTTTTTTATACTTAACCTGTTGGCATTCTACACCCTAATGTAACTAAATACGTAACTTCGCAACTATATAATTTTCAATGTTTCTGACCTAATTTCGATTACTAAATTAGATTAGTATAATAACATTACTACAATGGACAAGCTTTGTAGTACAAGATCAATGTCTGGTGAATATGGTCGACGAAAGGCGTATGTATTATAAATTAATTTATTTATCTTTGTTTTACATTACATATGACTATCGGTTCATAATGTTCTTCGTTGTCTTCTGATTTCTAGTCTTTATTTTGTTCGATCATACCACAGGTCTTCTTATTTTTACTGATTTGCGTTTACTTGGAGGTGCCATTCTATAACTTGTCTCGGTACGCTATTTTCTTCAATTCTTTACCAAATATGTGACTCCCGTAATTTCTTGGACCCTCTCATTTTATTACATATTAGATAATTGATTAAATAGGATAAATAATGGTCTATTGTTGATATATCGGTCCTAAAATTATTCAAATCTGTTTTATTATTTTACCGACCCTACTATTTAGGTTACCTAACATTATAAACTATGCGGTGTTTAAAAAATTTGTGACTTTTTTACTTATATGTTATAAACTATATGTAAAACAGTCTTTTAATAATTAAAAATAGCATCGTAGTTAACTGCATATACTTCCAGAATCGTCACTTTACAGCTTTTTATACAGATGTTCACTTTTATCATTCTTACATTTATGATTTTGCATGATACTATGTATCTTCGTTTGCAACGATGCATCATAATTGAGATTCCTTGTTGAGCCTGGCATTCTTTTGCAATTCCAATGTAGAAGTGGTCACTTTACTCAAGTTTTCAGATCATTAATCCTTTCTTTTGGTTTCCGTGATGACTACTATGTTGATGTATAATTTTTATAACTCTTATAGGACTTTCTACAGTCTTCTAGAGATTTTTGGATGTTCCATGTCCTCCTCCTCCTCAATCTTTTCTCCTTCGTAACATGTAGTGGCGTCATGTAATTGGTTTGACTATTTCTGTCCAATTATCTCTCCTGTGCGTGTTGTTTTGCTTCGGAGAATGGGTCATCTCCTTTATTTGGTCTGACCGTCGTACTGGAGATCTTCCTCTGGATTTTTTACCCGCTACATTACCTTCAACTATCATTCGATCCACGCCTTCTCTTCTTCTAGTTACATACCTATCCAAAATATCTCAGTATATTTTGGTTGATAGTTGTGATAAGTCTAGTTTTGTAAAATTTACAGATTGTATTGATATCCCAGCTCTTTCATTGCTTTGAACATTTCTCTTCTATTCACAGAGTCGTAGGCTGCTTTGTAATCTATAAATTTTCAGTTCCTTGGCTTGCACCTGAATAAATAAGCTTCATACATTTATTTATTTCATCCCGACATAAAGTAAAAATTATACATCTATGATTCTACTGTATATGTAAAAATCGGTTTATTTTTAGTTCCAATTGCTGCCGATGGTGGTCATAGATACAACGATGGTACATCTTATGTAGGAACATGGAATACGGAAGGAAAACGACAAGGGGAAGGACATTTGCAGCTTCCTGATGGTACTAGATATGATGGAATGTTTGAAAATGGGTTATTCCATGGCATTGGAGTTTTACGGTTTCCTGATGGGGCAAAGTACGTACTTTTTATTATTGTATGGAGCATAGTATATGTACTGAAATGCTAAACCCAACTTAACATAAATCACTTGAGAGCTGTCAAAATGGCCGACAGTTAAAAAAGTTTTACCAACTTACATTTCTATACCTCTAAAAAAACACCCTTTAGTTGCAGCTATGGTAGCATGGATGTAGCTTGGTAGTATTTGTATGACGTGGTTATTTGGTGTGTTCCAAAATGGGACAATAGGAATTTTTTTGTTTATCAAAATATTTATTTCAAGAACTGTCTTAAATTCCAGTCTTCTTCTTCTTAAGGTGCCGTGCATTTCTGCGTAGGCGTCCACCGTCTTGTCAGGTGAGATGTTAAATATTCAGGATTAAATAATTCTGTTTTTAGCAGCATTGCGAAGCATTTCATAGCTGTGGATTCCTGTCCATTGTCGAATATTGCGCAGACATTTTTTTACGTCCCAGACCTCTCCTACCCTCTATCTTCCCTTCGAGTATCAGTTGCTGAAAAGTGTATCTTTCTCCTCGTAATATGTGCCCCAAGTATACAGTCTTCTTACTTTTTACATAACTAAAAAGTTCCCTATCTTGTAAGCCCGCTCTTCTGAGTACTTCCCCATTTATGACCCTGTCCGTCCATGATATTCTAAGCATTCGACGCAGGCACCAGATTTCAAACACTTCAAGTTTGTTAATGGAACTGGCCTTTAACGTCCATGCTTCCATTCCGTACTGGAGATCAGGCCACACGTAACACTTAAGCATCTTGTATCGGAGTAAATAAATGTAAATTCCAGTTACAAATTACTTGAAATCAGTATATTTTTAACGTCATTAGATTCTTCCTAGTACATGCGTCCTCTTGGATTGGTGTTGTACCCACTAACTAGTAACATTCCGATAAAGGCTTTTAACTCGTCTGCTCCAAATTCTAAAGTAGTACCTTTTTAAAAAGCGTAACGAACTGTCTCCTTTACAATACTTGTTAAAGCTCTTCATTGAAAAAAAAAAAAAAAATCAAAGATTTGTAAAGGAGTAAGTGGTCGTGAATAAAATGAAGGAGTGTATGTGTTCCATTGAGTTTTTTTATTTTCAATATCCAAATAAAGGAATTTTCATCTGGTAAATCTCCCTGAATCCATTTCCGTGGTAGGAGAGTTACATTTTTTACACGAATCTCAGTAGATACCACTTGAATATCTTGATTTTCTTCATTTTGTATCTCTATTTCTGTTTCCATCTCAATCTCCTCCGTATCTTCTTCTTCCTGAATTTGTGTCACACTTTGAAGATCGGCCTCTTTTTCATATAGATTTATATTTTCTTCGTCGATACTTCTTTCTTCTTCTTGATGAATTACAGCTTCTGATTCCGCATCCAACATATTTTTGTTTAGGTTATTGAATGTTCCTCCACAGTCTTTATCTCCACTATCTTCATCAGTCAATTCAGTGGGGTCAGGAGGTGCTAGGAAAACATCTGCACTGGAAGCCAACTCCATAAGATTCGATTCTTCTAGTATGGAAATAATATTATGTGCTCTTGATTCGTAAAAAAATTTTTTAGGACGACTATTATTACTACTACGACCGAAACTGGTCGAGCAAGTGGATTTGACATCTTATTTCCACCTTCTAAAACAAAAATGATTTTTTTACTAATAATATGCCTTGTGCCCAGTGTTGCTAAAAAACAAACACTGATAATTGGGCAGTTGTCCAACTAGCACAGATAAAATAATAGCACTTACTTGATAGATATATCCTCTTCAATGATTTAATACGTTGTTGTCAAAAACCAAATATTTATCCAGTTAATTTATACACAAACGACTTACTACTAACTAAAAACACGTGTTTACAGAAGTCGAAATTAATCTATCACTTTCAATATGCCATTTGTTAATAGAAACCTAAATTGTGCGACCAATTTCAACTAAAACATACATAGGAAACTGTTGTGAAATAAATCTGAACCTTGACTGCCCGAATAAGTAATGTCATTTTCCAAAAGATGACGCCATAATGGGCTATGTCAACTGTTGCGAAAACGCAACGCTTAGCATGAATGGGTTAATGTAAAACACTTTCGTCACACTTTCGTTCTGTACGAAACAGGAGGTAATTGAATTGAATTATATTTTAGACAATATTGTGCTATAAATATGCAAGTCAATAAAAACCTTAGGTGTATTATTTGGTGGCAAATTATTATTTACTATCCATATTAACTAAACTGTTGCTTTATCTTTCAAAACCTTAGGATATTGTGTTAGAAAGTGTTCAAGAAACGAATTAGAACATGCCGCCGTAACTTAATCTTCTTAGATTATATTTACAAAATGCTAATCTTTACTTTATACACCTAAAACCAGAACTATCCCCGTGCGTATGGTAATAACTTATGTCTTTATTTAATTGTAAAAATTTATATATTGTTTAATTTGAAGGTACGAAGGAGAGTTCTTCGATGGTTGGTTCCACGGCTATGGCATATTTTGGCGATCAGATGGTATGAAGCACGAGGGAGAATTCAGAGGAGGAAAAATATGGGGCCTTGGTTTGACTACTTTCTCAGATAATACCAATGGGTTCCCGAGAAACGAAGGGTTTTTTCACGACTGCCAGATGAAAACGTCTTCGAAATGTCCTCAAGTCATCAAAAAAGCCCAAAGGGTGGCTTTCATGGCTCGAAATCAGTACATAGAAAAAATGAAAGCGTAAAAAGTAGACATCTTTTTGGTGCAGATAATTAATAAAACATTAATAAATAGTTATTGTTTTACAATTAAATTTTTTATCAATAAGTTAAAATAGTTTTTTTACTTATTTTACGTACTTACTTTTCGTATTCATATAGCCTTCTAAATTATGTTTTTCTATTACTCTGCTGTTGACTACAATCCCCTAATCGCAAATGTAAGGCTTCGATTGGCAAAGGTTAAAAAGCTATCTAATAAAAAATACATAAACACTAGAGAATTAATGAGAGATGAAGAGTTCAGATCTACATACAGTAAGCACATCCACGAGAACTTGAGAAATATACAAGGAAATTGCATAGAGGAAACCTGTGAGAAAATAAAAATAGCTATAGTTGAGGTTAAAAACGCAAGTAAAACAAAAAGAAATCACAAAAATGAGTGGATGACGGAAGAGATACTTGATCTAATGGAACAATGCAGACAGTACAAAATACCTCATAGAACCTCATAGAAAACATAAAATAGCTGGGTCTAAATGAAAATCTATATAAGATCATGCAGAAAGCTGTGCTACTTTCGACTTCCAGATGCATGCGAAAATTTTTGGGAGATATACCGACGTACCAAGTCACCTAGGACTCGATAACATGGAAAGAGTTCCACCAGAGCTCAACACTTTTGATACCGTAGGTATCTGGGATGTGTGAATTTTCCCCTTAGAGGGAGTGTGAGTATGGTTAAATACATGGTACAATGAACATATTGCACCATATCTTCATTGTACCATGGGCTAAATCTAGGTAGTAATTTTATTTATACAAGAACCTAAAATAAACAATTAGTACTTCGGCAGGTATCGCATAATAAATACAGCATCTGTATATGAATGATCTTACAAATTTAAACCGTTGTTCTTCTGCCTACGATGTAAAAGTATGTATTTTATTTTCTTGTCAGTATTAGAATTAATTGGAAGGATTCTGCTTATCTCCTATTTTAATTATGGGTACCTATATCAACGAATATAGATGCATATGCATATGCGTATGCGCATATGCATCTATATTCATTGCCTATTCCTTACATAGTAAATACTGATTCTTCAGTTCCCAATTGTTCAGTCAGTTTCTCAGCCATGTGAAATTTTCGTCTAATAGAACAAAATATGATAATATATATTTTAAGGATAATGGGTTTTACGTAAATACTAAACCAATGACGAGAACAAAATTCTACTTAAATAATTTTTTATTAAAATCTACACTGTTATAAAAATTTAACAATAGTGTCAATATTATATCACAGCTTGATGTATGAATCATACAAACATTGGAAAATTTTCATACTTCCTTGATTAAATGATTATATTGTAATTTGAATTAGCAATTTAAAAATGCATTTAAACTTTATAAATTTAGCTACAGTGCTTGTACTTTTAGTCATTTTTAAATAATATATACCTAGATATAATTATTACATTACTTTATACCTAATACATATAAATTATACGAAAACTGATTGAAAAACTGATGATTATGTATACATTTTTAAAAAATACTTTGCTAAGTAAATACTGCTAAAGGTTGACTTTTATGAACGATAAAGCAAATTTACACGAATTCCACTACTTAATTCTTGAAAGGATCCCCATGTTTCATCAGTTCCGCTGAAAGTTTAAGTTAATTGTAGTAAATTAATGATTTTTCACTAAAATTGTTTTACTGAATTTGACTTATAATTTCTTCAAGTATACATTCAAGGTAGTGTGTGGTAGCTCAGGTTTGAAAACTATTTCTCCATTTTCTTTGTAGTCTGTATATTTCAAAGAATATTTTAACTCAAAATTTAATTTTTCTGAAAGTTTTGCTGAGTATAAACTTGTGCATGCCATGTCAACGAAATGATATCCTTCTTGTTTCGCCAAATCACTAAAAAAATTAAATATTAAAATAGAAAGCAACAAAAAAAGTGGTAAAATATTGAAAGCATTTACAGGTATTAAGGTTTTTATTTGTGTTATTTATTAGGTCTTCCAATAGGGATTTCCGAATTTTGATAGTTGGTAGCGGCCATATTGTCACATCTACATCTGTCAAATTGGCTCTCATTTAGTTAGTCTGTTTTGACAACTCACCATGCATGGACATGGACATAGCATATAACAGCCTGTACAAATGACCATGATAGAGGACGCTGCCAATCAGCAATAAAAAATAAAAATGACTTAATTATATGTTTAGATCCATGTTTTCGAATATTTCTTAAGCTGGCCAAAAAGTCTTCAAATTAAACAGCAAAATTAAGGGCATAAACATTAACCGAGAGATCTCAATATGTAAAATAGGAAGTAAAATTAAAACAAATTAAGTGTAGTAAATTTATTTTGCTTAAATAATACAATTATTAAGTAGCTAATATTTTTACTATCTTGTTGATACCTGGTAATTCAAGATAAGAAACAATAAAACCTTAATGATTTAGACAGATTAGATATGAACTAATTTCTAAAAAAAAAAACACTTCAAATTATTGTCGACTTAAATTTAATCGATTTTAAATATTAATGAATGTTTACATTGCAGCAGTTGTTTCAATTTTTTTTAAGCGACTCCTTTTAAGGCTGTTTTATCAGTGCACCAAAATTTTTTCTCTGTTATTTACCGACGAAATGTCTCGAAATTTGGACATGTTATATGAAATTATGTTGCCTTTAAACTGATGGTTTTCCTTTTTTTATTTTTTTGAATTTTCTGTTGAAAAATTGGATTATACTGTTTTAACGTTCTATTATAACCAAACTTTTTACGCCCATCAGTTGAAAGAGTTTTTTTTTCTGTAATCGTTGATTCTTTTTTCACCTTCTGTCTCCAGTAATAATCGAGAAAAGCGTATTCAAACTTTGAAGAAAATTGCTAAAAAATACTGAAATCTAATAGTGAAACGTGTTTCCTCATCATTGTCGCTGAGCTTGATCGTTATCGCATTAGTGACGTCAAATATCATGAACGTACGGTATGGTCTTATTTTTATTTCTCTATGGGTATGGTCAGTTAGTTCGCTTGAATTAGAATCCATTTTAGTTCTTTCATTCTTGTATTTTCTTTATCAACTTGCTTAGTTTTTACAGTTTACAGTATTCTTATTTATTTTGAAAACATTGAAATTATTTAGTTTACGTGTATGTTAAGTAATATATAATTAGTTTAGTGGTATAAGTTAAAAGTTCTTTAGTTTACGCGTATTTTTAAGTATTACATTAGGTTAGTGATATAAGTTATAAGAGACAAGATAAAAAATGAGTCCCAGTAAACGTCCTATGTCAAGGAAAAGGAGAGCAATTGCACTGCTTTAGTATTTATTATTTATATTACAACCGTTTTTAAAAGCTTTTATTTAACTTATATATATATATATATATAATATATATATATATTATATATATATATATATATATATATATATATATATATATATATATATATATCTGACATTCGAAATGTCAGTTTTTTGTATGTGTCAACGAATAATCTTTAATAAATAGTTTGGAGATATCCCTATGTGTACAATTATTTTAATTATTGAACCTCTTAACTTATTTTCGTCTAGTAATTTCATTACAGAATGCAGACAAATCCCATTTAACTTTACCAAGAATTGAAATTTGTGATACGGGAAGAGCCTATCTTGTTATTCATAGTATCATGGTTCATTCCATCAAGAATTAACAGAAACCTCTACTTTACCCAGTTGTAGTGTCGATTCGTAAGTAACCCTTTTAGTTTTTTTATTTACTTACCGTAAAGTAAGTAAATAGAGGGTTCATGACCTTACATATTATTTGTTTATGGTCAAAATATTACCATGTTTTACTCTTAAATAATAATAATAACAAATAATATCATTTGCAGAAAATACTTTAAAGTTTTATCGTTATTTCTAGTAATAGCTGTCATTCTCAGTCAATTGAGATTAGGCAGAAGAATAGTGGACATAAACTTTTTCATTAAATCTATTCAAGGTTTGAATAATAGCCAACGAAATTGGTGAAGTAGATTCCGACGGAAATGGGTTAATAACCGTTATAGCTGATGGTGCTTGGTCAAAAAGATCGTATAATGTAAACTACGATGCTTCTTCAGTGTAGTACCTGACGTTGTAAAATTTATTAAATTATTACGCCTTTAATGGATAGGACATGTAATTAGGCGAGATGAAGATGAAACGATCATAAAAATTTTCGACTGAAGAGGACCAGTGGGAAGACGATCCAGAGGAAGACCAAAACTTAGGTATCAAGATATCATAGAGGATGATCTAAAATCCATCGGAGTTAGAGCTTGGGGAAGAGGTGCCAAAGACAGGGGCGAATGGAAGATTGTTTTGAAGAAGGCTTTGACTCATGACGAGCTGTAATGCCACTGATGATGATGAAATAACTATCCACGATTTGTGTTTTATTCATAAATTGGATACTTTTCTTATGTACCTGCAATCTATAAATATATTAAAATAATGTATTTTCCATTCAGAGAACTTTTTCCTCACAGTGCGTCGCCTCGAAATACTTGTCATATTTTTTGTTTAATTTTTACTACGCTAATATCAGTTTTCTCTAACAAATAAATAACTTCTTGAAATAATTTTCAAGCTATAACTGCGAAATTGTTTATTTGTTTGTGACATTAAATTGTAATTTTTTTGATAATAATATTTTTATGTTATTTTAAATTTATTATAAATAAACACCATAGTGTTTTTTGCAGTCACGTTTCACAAATTTTATTCAATACTATGTTTAGCTAAGACATATAAATTAAAAATGTGATTAATTCCTTTTTAAAACATTATCTACGATAATCAATCTAAAAAAAGTATTCCGACAAAACTAATTTGAATGGAGAATAATGCATTTATTGTCAATAAACAACCCGTGGGCCGGCGCCACTGAGTAAACATCATTTCACATTAGGAAGTCACGTAGGTCCTGACGTAAGCAGTGTAGAAAAGTAAGTGATACGCCTACTTCAAATCGCAGTGTTGCTCTAACTGCGAAAACAGCCTTAAGGGCACTAGTATACCAATCGAGAGAGTGCACCAAAATTTACACTATCAACAACTTTGTTCAATTTACTTCTGGAATGAAACTATTTTCAGCAATAAGCACCAGTGATTATAGCTTTTGCGGATGTAAATAATGAGAGTATTTAAAAAAAAATAGAAAGGGCAACAAGAAAGTACCTATTGTCTGGAAATTGGAAATTAATATTGAAAAATCAATACGATTATGAGGAGGAAGGAGTCAAAATAAAGAGAAGAAAATTTGAAGATAAAATAGAAGATGATAAAGTGTATAAATTTGAGAAGACCAAAGAGTTCATTATTTGGGAGTCATTTGTGGAGAGAAGAATCAGATAACCACAAGACTGACAAAAGGCAATAAGAAATATTGAAGTTAAAGAGGGTTTAATTTTTTATCTAGGAAAACAAAACTTATTTACTTACCGAATAGTAGTAAGACTAGCTACTACATATACAACACAAAATACTGAGTAACATTGTGTGAAAGATAAAAAGTGAACAAGGATGTAGAAGAAAAACCAAACACAAAGCATATGAGTATTACAAGAAGCCTAAAATTACTGTAGGTGTTCTAGTTGTCTAGGGTTTAATTAATGGCCACGGATCGATTCGAATTATAACAAACCTTTATTGTTTGACTTGAAAATTACAGGAATATAGAACTAATGTAAACGGTAACTAAACACTATTGAAATATGACCGCCGCTTAATTGTGTTACGTAAAAAATTTAAGTCATATTAAAAACCTATAAACATGTTGTTTATTCACTTTTATGATCTAGATTTTATTAGCTGGCAGAAATTCCAGGTAATACCTACCTGACACGATGGGTCCCCCTCCGATATAAAAACAACAATCCACAAAACCAGTACGAGATCATTCGCCGCTCTGTCTGTTGTGGGATTTTCCTTCTACACTAGCCATCAAACCTTCGACGGTGTTCCATTCTAACAGATGTTTTCGTATAAATATTAGCTTCTGCCGGAAAAAAGGCTGAATTAGTCCAACGACTAAAGAACGCTTTAGACGAAGAGGGTTTAGATCCGGAAACTTATATATTTGAAGATGCTGTCATCTCGTCGATTTTGAAATTAGAAACAAGAACTTATTTTCATTTTTGAAGAATTAGATGTCACCAGAAGTTTCTGGTGACATCGCATCATTAGAGAACAAAGTTTCTGACGATATTTCAAAAGTTTCTTCTGATGTGGCCAAAGTTTCCGGCTACATCGCTTCGTTAGAATAGCAAAAATATGAACACGTCTTTCGTCGTACGTCGTCTAGAGATGAGATGCCGTCTTATGCATATCACCTCGTCGTCTCTTCTCTTAGTATTCTACTCACACTGTGTTCGAGCTCGACTCATCGTCGACCTTTTATCGACCGTGTTTTTGATTATTCTGTAATGGTACTTAACCCTGGCTTCCAGCTCGCGGTTCGGGATAAATGAGAGGGAGGAATTGGTAACGGAGAGTATTTGCTGACGAATGCAATCCTACATTACCATATATGTCAAGACACACATAATATGGTGGCTGAGCATTTACACAGATTGTCAATGGGAAAACGCCGAAGGTGATCTTACGTAGAAGGCCCACAGAAAGTAGTAGGAGAGGAAGAGCGAGGGCATGGATAGTAAAGGCTGAGAGTATCTTAAAGGGAGTAGGTGACTTGGACTGGAGAAACGAATTAAAAGATGGAGAAATATCGATAATGGATGAAGATATAAAAAACATTAAGTACTTTAAATGTAAATTTTTGCCCGAGGCCTACAAGATCTGATGTTCACTGTAAATAATAACTCGTTATTTAAGATAAAAATCAATTTACAATCGCTTAGACAAATCAGATAATAATTAATTTTTAACAAAATACTTCACTTTATCGTTTGATTGAATTTAACTCATTTGACCTCTTAAATGTTGATGAATCTGTGTACATTTGTGTCAATGTTATTAAAATGCATGCATATAACTAATAATACTTTTATAAAGTTAACTCTTACTTTTGTGATGACTTTAGTTAGAACTTCTAATCGCAGTACTTATTCATAAATATAAAATTTTTGTTTATACATTTAGTGTTAATCCAGTACATTAGTAGTTGTACTTTACACACACTAATATTTAATTTACCAAATCCGCATTGTACGAGGGTAAAATGAAATATTCTCGGCGTTTCGTTAAAAATAAATCTTTTTTTATAAAAAATGCATCCATTTCTTATTGCAGTAACAGTTAAGTGCAATATTTTTGGATAGAAGAATTCCGATCTACTAAACGAAAAACTAAAAATTTCAAAGCCGGAAAAAACATGCTCTCATATTGTAAAAAAAAAAATAAAAAAAAACAATATTAAAGTATTCTTGGTATTAGCTGTTTATTCAAGATAAGAAATAACACGATCTCAATCAATTGAGCAAAATTATAGATAGGAGTTAATTTCTAAAAAGAAAATACTTCACAACCTTGTCTGATTGAATTTAACACACTTGACTTTTTAAATATTGATGAACCTATGAAACTTAAGTAAGAAATAATTATAAATTATTCTAAGAACTCTTTTAATACCCATTTGTATGATTTTTTGGTAACGTTGAAGCAAAAACCAGGTTGTTACGTGACATTTTAATTACAAACCCAAAAATGGCCAAGTGAAATATTAAATAAACTAAAATAGGTTCCTTATTGTATACGACATACGACAAAATGCCTCCCTATGCCGATTTCTTTAAATATACCTAAGTTCTCTTTAATTAATCACAAATAGTCATTATTAATTATGGCACTCATTTCTAATAAACTTTTTGACGACTTTTTTAAATAAACCTAACTGCTTTTTTATAAATTACAAATAGTTATTATAAAGTAGGACACTCCTTTCTAATAAACTTTTTGTTTGAAAGTACACATGTGAATTACTCTAGAAAGTACAACGAAAAGCCAGAGTGTAAGATGAGCAATTTGGCAACAATGTTGGAAACATACATTGAATTTTGGCACGTGCACATATATTTCCAGTGACCCAGTGACAGTCAGTAAGAGGCTTTACTTCATTTACCAGATTTAGATTTTTGTAATTCAGGTAAGAGGACGTAATCCCTCTCTAGAGCGAGGCCTAGAACATGTCTAAAATGATAGAGATGACTGGAGATCGGAAATCGGAAGACATAGAACGTTTTAAACCGATGTTTATATATACAAATATTGTAAATATACTTACCATGCTTTTTGTAATAATTCTGCAGCTATCCCTCTTCCCGTAAAATCTTTGCGCACTGATATTACTTGTACTGATATGCCTTTGGTACTATTGGGATATATTTCAAATGGATTACATTGTTTCTCAGCATAGTCCAGCAATCGAACTAATTTATTATACTTTTCATTTTGACAGTCAAATGTTAGCTCTTCGCCTTTTTCTAACGGTCCACTCAATAATAAACCTAAGAAATAGTTAATAATTGACTTAGTTACAAGGTAAGGAGTACTGACAAGAGAAATAATAGTAATTAAATATTTTAACATAAAAATTTACTTAAATGTCACATAATATGGTGATCAAAGCTTGAATTTCTGGTGGAGTAGTCATGATTAGGTCTTGCTGGAATAACATGTAGATGTTTACGAATCAAGCAAACAGTTTCTAGAATATATAAAGAGGGAAGAGTTAAAATCCCGCGATTTTTGAAGTGGCTTCTGTAATGTGTTATTCTACTGAGGCCAAAATGATACCGTATTGCTCTTTTCTGTAATTTAAAAATAACATCAGATTGGGCAGTTGTACTAGAACCCCCAAAAAGTCTTCCGTTGTCTTCTGAGATTAGTTCTCGACGTTTCGCCAACACTAGGGGTTGGCATCTTCTGGAGATGTTAATATCTTGCCACTTTTATACAGATTCCTCTTGTCTTCAATTTTTCTTAATCCTTGTTTGACCAGCACTATCTTTATTCTCAAACTTCTTTCCTAATTTAATTATTTTTGGATTACAGCTTATCTCTTCTACTATTTTTACTCTGAATAAACCTTCCTTTTCATATATAAACGTTCACCATTTGATGTTTGTGAACCTCTTCGATATTTTGCTTCGTTTTGCTTTAATGTTTATCACAACTCTTAGATTTCAGCCCTTCCATTCACGTATATCCTCTGTTCAAATCAAGAAAAAAATATACTCAAGGAAACGACAAGAAAAAATACTTTTTTGTTCACTGTAAATCTGTGGATCAATGTGGGTTTACGTGGAATTGATAGGAAAACCTTGGTTGCAGAATTTGAATAAATAATTAAAAAAAAAGAGATATATTTATGTTAATAAAATTATCACAAAGTCACTGTACAAAAATATGACTTCTGTGGGATCTGTGAATCTTTCAAACTTACCTACGATTTGATCATTATGAACTGCTACCAAATTTATCCCAGTCGGAATATGTCCCACTGTGAACTCTTCTAAGGTTTCACAAGTTGGATTTTCTTCAGTGATTAATTCTAAAAATGAATTTAAAGGTTCGTCTTTGAAAAAACTGGCCCTCAAATAGTCCACAATAGCGTCCCTATCTGCTATGGTTACGTCTCTTATTTTATATGATTTGTCTGTTGAGGAAGTCATAATCTTTATTTACAAGCTACAATTAAACGAAAATGTTATCAATATATAAATAGTATGTACACAATTAACGAAATTACCTGATGTTGCAATTCGTGAGAGGTTTATGACAAATATAAAAGCAGTATTTTATTTTGGATAGTAGAAAAATACTTTTTAAGTCACATAAGTTGTTTTTGAAATTCAACAAAGTAAAAAGATGTTAAGCAAGGTTATAAATCACGTATAAGCCAAATATTTCATCTGCGATAATCTACGCATTGAAACGGTTGCGAGAGTATAGGAGACAAATGGATGAGGAAATAGAGAGCCTGAAAGCAGGAGAAAATGTAGAGGAATTGTGGATAAAATGTAGAAACATAATAATTGAGAAAGCATCGAAAATATTGTGGAAAGCCAAACCTGTTAGACAAAACGAATGGTTTGAAGTAACAGACAACAAAAATAGAGCATACCTAAAGACAAATGAAGCTAGATGCACAAGAAGAGCAAAGGAGGAATACCGGACCCTAAGAAGGAGACTATATACATAGAAATCTCAAGCAGACAACCAACATAACGTCATCAGAAACCAAATTGACTACCTTCTCATCCGCAAACGATACCGAAATTCCATATCATCAGTAAAATCATACCCCGGAACTGATGTAAGATCTAAATGTGTAATCTAAAAAAAACTTGTGGCTAAAACTAAAGTAGAAAGCATACAAGTATCCCGTTTGAGAGATCCATCAACAAAAGAGCAAGTCACACTAAAAATTAAAGAAGAGCTCACCAAAATAGAAATTATTCCTACTGAAGATGCGAACAGGAAATGGCGTATGTTAAAAGATGCTCTTATATGCACATGTGAGAACACACTAACACCTAAGCTGATCAAGAACAAAAATGAATGGATGACCGATGAGATTATGGATCTCATGGAAGCAAGGAGATCCTATAAAACCAAAGACAAAAACATGTATAATATTATACACACAGAAAAGGAGAAGAGATTGAACAGTTACTTACATTGAACAGAAACTTAAACCTTCATAAAAAATTAGGGAAATAACAGGCACTAATATTAAGAAAAAATCAAACTTACTGCTGGATAAAAACGCAAAATAATTATAGACGTCGGTGAAAGGCTTGAAAGATGGCAGGAATATATTCAAGAACTATTTAAAGACGAACGGACTGAGATAGTATTAGAGCAGGAAAAGTTCGACAACGGCCCAGACATAACAGAAGATGAGGTATTAGAGACGATAAAGCGAACAAATAATAACAAGGCAATAGGTCCTGACGAAATACCTGTAGATATAATACAGTTAATAGAAGTGATTAGAAGAACTTTAATAAAATTAAAAATCACTATTTATTTATCTAAAAATAATTGATATGTTTTATTTGTTTAACATACGTACCTGGTTGATTTAATTTACAATAAATAACAAGCGAAACTCACGGTCAACGGGTTCAGATTTAAACTAAACAGATAATACAAAATGCCGCGTTATTATTAGCTATCTATCAATGATTTAACCATACGCAATACGTATTTTTATCAGACGTCTGATAAATATATACATGTAACTATTACAGAAAACATGTATGGGGAAGACCTGTACTGTGTACCAAATCAGTCACAGTTTGTTTAAGGTGTTAAACTCGGTGTTTAGGAATGTTAGCTAACAGTTTATGTAATAAATAATATAAACAAATATAGGACTGGGGGGAGTATGAATTTAAAGAAAACAGTACCGTATTTGATAAAAGAAACTGTACTGATTTGTACCTAATGCGTGGTAGAAAAGAATAAACTTTTTCGTTTTCCAAAAAATCTCTAATAACAATGATGCCCTAACATTAATGTGTTTACATTTGATACTTGATTGATTGATACATGATTATCTTTATACTCAAGTATATTATACCTACAGAGTTTTAAAAACTATATGTTAGGTCTTAAGTCAAACGCAGTCTTTAAAAGTGCAACTACTGAGAGAGAATTACTCAACTTTTTCAATGCACGAAAAATTGGATATCTGGGCCATATCATGAGGGGGAAAATACGCAATCACTCAACTAATTATCCAAGGAAAAATTGATGACAAGAGGCAAGTAGATCGCAAACAAATGTCGTGGATACGAAATATAAAAACTTCTTCTTTTAGTTCCCTCTCTTATCGGAGGTTGGTTATCATCACAGCTATCCGTACCTTACTGGCGGCTGCTCTAAAAAGATCTAGTGAGCTGCAACTATACCTTAGGTACTCTTAGGTATCTTAGCCACGAAATTATTCGTCATCCTATGGATCTTTTACACTTGATTTTACCTTGCATTATAAGCCTTAATGATCCACTGTTTGCAGTAAGTGTTCTTTCGCAGAGATACTTAGATATTAATCAGGAAGTATATGCCTGTTACATTGATTTTGAGAAGGCATTTGACAGAGTGCAGCATAATCGGCTTAAAGAAATTTTATTAAATAAAAACATAGACAGTAGAGACATTAGAATCATCTGTAACCTCTATTGGAACCAAACAGCAAAAGTGAAAGTTGAAAACGAACTGACCGAGGATATCCAGATTCGCCGTGGGGTCCGCCAAGGGTGTATTTTATCACCCTTGTTATTCAATTTATACAGTCAAGCCATCTCAGAATTAGCGCTTGTCGAGATCAGTGAGGGCCTTATAATAAACGGTGAGCCACTTAATAACATAAGATATGCTGACGACACCGTTCTTCTGGCAGGAACACTAGAAGAACTGCAACACCTTGCTGAACAACTAAATATATATTGCAACGATTATGGACTAAAAATCAATTTGAAAAAAACCAAGTTCATGGTATTTACAAAAGCACAAAACATCAAAGTTAAGCTAGTACTAGATAATACAGAAATTGAACAAATATCTTCGTACAAATACCTTGAAGCATGGATCACAGAAGATACTGATCAGACAAAAGAAATAAGATGACGCATTGAAATTGCACGGTCAACTTTTAATAGAATGAGAAAACTTTTTTGTAATCGCGATATCAATATATCGCTCCGGATAAGAATGCTTCGATGTTATATTTTCTCTACCCTTTTGTATGGAGTTGTAGCTTGGACGCTTAAAAAATCCAACATTAAAAACCTAGAAGCATTCGAGATGTGGTGTTACCGACGTATTTTGAAAATATCATGGATGGATCGCAAAACAAATGAAAAGTTCTCGAACAACTAGGAAAACAATGCGAAGTTTTAAATTCCATAAAAATCAGGAAATTGGAATACTTGGAGCACATCATGAGAGGTGAAAAATACCAACTATTAAGGAATATAATGCAGGGTAAAATCAAAGGTAGAAGAAGCGTAGGAAGACGTAAAATCTCGTGGCTACGCAATCTCCGTGAATGGTTTGGATGCAGTTCAATTGAACTATTCAGGCGCGTAACCAACAAAATTATAATTGCCAGAATGATTTCCAATCTCCGATAGGAGTGGAACTTGACGAAGAATAAGCCTTAATATCTCATATTTCGTACCTCTAGTAATGTGGCCTAAATATTCCAGCTTTCTGATTTTGATGTGTTGTATGACCTCGCAATCCTTTTGTAGCCTTCTTAACACTTCTGCATTTGTAACTCGTTGGGTCCATGATATTTTTAAAATCCTTACCACCACATCTCAAATGATTCCAACTTTTTTATATTATTCACTTTTAGTGTCCAGCTTTCCATTCGATACAACAAAGTCGAGACCACCTAGCATCTTAAACCTCTTATTCTCAGCTCCAGAGGAGGGTCTCGATTAACAACCATTGTTTTCATTTTTATAAATGCTTATCTCGCAATTTCAATGCGTATCCTTATCTCTATACCTTGGTCATTGTTTTCATTTACCCAGGTTCTTATATATTTGTAGTTATTCACCATTTCTACTTGTTTTCCCTCGATATCTATTCTTCCTACTGTATGTTGCTTAGAAATAATCATGCACTTGGTTTTTTTAACTTTCATTTGTACTCAATATTTTATGCTGACTTTTAGTAATATATTTACTAAGCGTTGCAATGCTTCTAGACTGTCTGCAAAAACAGCGATGTCGTCTGCGAATCTTATGTTGTTCAAGATTTTTCCATTTATTGATATGTCCTGTTATTCCTCTGATATTGCTTCCTTAAAAATAGATTCGTTGTACAGATTGAATAACAATGGGGACAGCACGCAACCCTGTGAAACATTTTTTTTATTTCCATAGTTTCTGTATCGTCATTTTCGATTCTAACCTCAGCTTCTTGATTTACCGTACAGATTGACAATAACCCGTATATCTCGACTATCCACATTCTTTTCTTTTAACAGTTTTACGAGTTTCTGATGTCGCACTCTATCAAAAGCCTTTTGATAATCTATAAAGCAGACATAGAGATCCTGGTTCATACATAGTCGTCTTTGCGCGAGAACCTTAAAAGCGAACAGAGCCTCTCTCGTTCCTAGTCCTCCTCTGAATTAAACTGGGTATCATCGATATCTTCTATTTTTTTGGATAGTCTCCTATGTATTATTTTGAGAAATATCTTAATTGTGTGGCATATTAAGGAAATTGTTCTGAACTGGGAGCATTCTGTCGCATGTACTGACTTTGGTAGTATTACATACGTGGACAGAAACCAATCTTTGAGTATTACTCCTGTTGTATATACTTTGTTGAACAGATCTAAAAGTATATGCAGTTCTTCGTCCATGCATTTAATTAGCTTAGTGGGTATCTGATCTGAGCCTACTGATTTTGCGGTATTTGTATTTCTAATTGAATGTTCTAATTCGCACATTACTATTTTCGGTTCCATTTGTTCCTGTGGTTCTTCTTGTATCATTATATCATGGTGTGCTATGCGGGCTCCCTTTTTGGTATTTGTTAGTTCTTTTATTTTTTTATACATATTAAAGCCGTCGTATTTTCTGTCATACTCTTCTATTTCTATGCATTGATCTGTTAACCACATTTCCTTGGCCTCTTTTTATCTTTACTTTAATTCTACTTTGTAGTTCTTGATATTTTGGCTTTTCTCATATCTTTCATTAATGCTAGAATTTCTGATCATCCACTTCTGTTTTTTATTTGCCTTTTCAGGCTTTAAATTTGCTTCTGCAGCCTTTAGTAATGCCTTCTGAATATTGCTTCTTTTAGATTTGAGTTGACTTGTTAGATCACTTTGATGTATTTCTCTTTTCCTTAATTTTGTATAATCAAAGGTTGGTAGGCAAAAATGATGATGAATCTCGTGTGGAAGAAAGGAAAATAACGTAACAATATTTTAAAACAAAAATTTATTTCTTAACTTACAGATTTTTGGTTACAGGATGACTATCAACAACTTATCAAAAGTCGTAGGTTTCTAAAAACATTTTTATTTCTAAATATGTACGTGCAAAAATCTAGAGAAAGAAGACATGTTTATTATGTTGTATGAAACGAAATTCTAAATTAAGAAAATTACAGCAGCACTTGAACTGTCTTTATCAATAGTCACTATCAACTATTATGTGTCTATACAAATCAGTATGTAGGTAGTTACAAAATATTACTTTTATATTTAGAACTTTACTTCAAGTTTCTTTACTTTTACACTAATGTCTTTAAGTTAATATCGTCTTTATCCCTTTACTGTTTTGCAGCTGAAGTTTTAGTGATTTTTAGTGATTCGTGTTACTTCGTTCATTTAATATAATTTCCTTAGATAGTAATTGTAAGGTGTTCTTGGACACAGCTGTACTTTTTTTTTTATATATATTTTAAGGTTATGCCAGCAGAAATCCTCACACTAAGTTAAGTTTAGAAAAATATGAGGTTAAATTATTATCGATAAATATGATATTTTGCGAAATACCTCTGTATATGAGGAAATAGTTAGCTTACACTTATTTAGGACGTCGTGCTATCTAAACGAAATATAAAAACTTCATGTTTTTTATATTTTGCCAAAGACCTTTACAACAATGAACAAAAACACAGTTTATGATATACTTTACTGATAAGATCACCGCATTATTTTTCCCAATCAGAATTTTTCTTAATTTAAAATAACCTTTCGATTTCTATGTTGTGCTCTAATGAAATAAATACAGTTTGACACAAAAATATTGATCACTGGAATTTTTTATTGCACCGCGATCGGTTCAGGGATCGGCTCGTTTTCTTCGGCCCAGTTGGAGATCTGCTGGTTGTCGAACTCGTCATCTAGCTTTGAGTTGATGTAGTTGTTCGTTTGGATTCTGATGTATGGTGGCATCTAAAAAAGCAATAATTGTGTGATTACCAAGTAAGTAATGAAGAATTTACAAACGTAGGTTAGTTGAATGATTGTATGACAGGTTATATAATAATTATATTAGTTACATACGTTAACACCCTGTATGAATGATATTTATAATGATAGATCAAACAAGGACAAGGTTTACAGGCATACAAAATATATCTATCCGCTTTGTTCTAATTTGGAATGCGACATTCTTGATATATTTCACGTTTTTGCCACAGCTTGCGCTGTAATCGATTTGATTGTTCCCAACATACGCTTTTTTAGATAAAATATTTGATACAAAGGTTGGCTATCATGTCTATTTTGACTTTTGAAACAGCTCTGGAAAGAATGACAATAAAAATATATTTTTTTAATAAAAAGTGACCTCGACGAAACCTCGAAATCTACTGAAAGCTTTCTTGGTCTTCCGGTACAAGTAGCAATTAAATAACTAAAAATCAAAATATATACATATATACACAATATATGATTTCACAAGTTTTACTAATTAATTTTTTCAATTAGTAGATGATGGACAGTGAAAATTTCGTTATTTAAAGCATTTAGTTATTCTTCAAAAATTGGTATTATCATTGATTATAAACCACCCACTAGATAGCTCACCTCGTGGTAACCGAAAGACGTATCAACAACTAGATGGCGTTACTCGAAAATCGTATAGTCAGATTCTCATTCTGTCTCCTGACTTGCGAGGAGATAGGAGTAGTGTCAGGGCCGAACTTACCCTATAGGTGTATTATCTGTGACAAGTCGCACATCCAATTCAATACCGCTACAAATATTTGTAAAATATGGCGGTATTGCATTACATTTTTAAATTACTCAATTGCCATAACTGCTACTATTATACACATTAACAATGAAAAACCAGACAAAGTTCTAAATGGTAGGTACTTTATTAGATAAATTTAATAATTATAATTGTATATTATAAATCACAAGAAATTAACTCAACAAATTGAAATAAAATAATTGGTGTACTTTTGCAATAATATTTTTTTGCATAATTCCAGTAAATGCTCTTTTATTTTCTCTCCTACAGTAGAAGGCTTTTCGTAGGCTGGTTTTAAGTTATATTGCTCTAAAACGTTATTATTATCAGAAAAACGAAAAACTAGTGAAAAACGGGCCTGTATGACTAGGACACATATTACCTTTTAGGAGAAATACCATATACAGGAAAAAACGGAAATACAGTAGCCAAAGGTATTGCATCTCAAGTTGTAAAGCAACTCGTTGAGCTTTATTATAATTCCAACAGGAATGTAACTTGCGATAACTATTTCACTGATCTTGCTCTTGCACATAAATAACTGGCAAATTTACTAACTCCTGTGGACACAAGGAAAAAAATTAGAAATTTGTTCTTCGGAAATTTCTATCAAACAAGAACTGTTTAGAGAAATCTTCAATTTTCTGATTCACTCCAAAAGTATCTCTTGTTTCTTACGTTCCGAAAAAACAAAGAAGTGTCCTAGTCCTGTCTACCATGCATCACAATTCTGACTGTGCAGATGATGTTGACAAAAAACCAGATATGATACTCTATTATAATAGTACAGAATGTGGTGTCGATACGCTACACCAAATGGATCATAAATATATATGCAAAAGACGAACTAACCGTTGTCCTTTTGCATTTTTTAGGAATAATTTAGACTTAGAAGCTGCTATGCTAGAACTACTACTAGAAGCGCCAAAACTATGCAACTGTTTACACCCTTTCTTTAATGTTGTATATCTATTAGTTACTAAATCAAAATGGAGCAACGAGACACTTGTTAACACGTAAACAAAAGCCCCATAAATAAAATAAAATTAGTGATACCTGCGTTTATGTCCTTTTTTTCGTCTGTGATGGTGTGAACAACGCTATGTATTAAGTAAATAATATGAAAGATTTACAAAACACTAAAACATTAATATTAAATATTATTAACTAACTAAACAGTTTTTACAATAAAAAAAATGATTAAATAGGTGATTTATGCAACAAAAAAAGTAAAAGATGTCATATATAGGGACGTTTAACTAAAAGATTCTGTGTGGGAAACGAGCCACTTCCGAAGAAAATCCCCATAGAAACTCTTGCTTGCCATAAAGTTAACTCACTGGGGCAGCATACCGCCCACACCTATTATTTTATTGTTTCATTGACCTTTTCATTGTTATAACAATAATACTCTTCTTTTATCACGACGTTTGTTGGGCATAACCGTCTGTGCGTGTGAGGAGTGAAATAGTTTTTGACTCTTTTACTTAGTTTCAGGAAAAAACGTGCCAATCAATGGAAAACTTAGTGAAGACGATCACCAGTACTAGGTTTAAGTACAAAGAAAATATTTATTTTCTTGTCGTTTATTTTATAATGTTAAGAACACTTCCGACAGCTCACACAGGTCTTCTTTAAAAGGAATAAATACCAAAACGGACAAAGAAGGATGGAAAACGTAGGCATGTTAAAACATGATATTATATTCTTAATCTTCCCTGTATTTGTTACATCTAAAGCAGAGTTTCGAACAACGAAATCAAAAAGCCATAAAAAATGTTAAGCCAAAAAAATGTAAAAGTGAAGCAAAAAAAAATAGGAAGTCCCGAAAAATATCGACGGAATCTGAAAACTCGTGCAAGTTAACTAATATATGCCAGGATTCAGATTAAAAAGAAATTATTTCACTAGATGATGAAATCGAAACAACAGAGTTACCTCGAAAAGAAAAAGAATTTACTTTAATTACAGGAGAATATTGAAAAACACGATTTTGTCCTGGTAACTTTAACGATAAGAAAGGGAATAGTAATGAAATTTGTTAGAAAAATTAAAGGTAATTGTTTAGAGAACATTTACGAGGAAGAAGCATATGATATTACTTACCTGGGAAACTACAAAAACCACCAGGACTGGTTCGTGTTTCCAGATATACCTGACGACAGTGTTATTTTAAAAAGTGAAGATCTAAGAGTTCTTATCAATTTTTCTTCTCTTCGCCATGGAATAATTAAATTTTCATAATTGTTTTTATTATTTTTAAATTATCATTTGTAACCAATATTAGAATAGGTACTTTTTGTTATTTTTCTTAACTACAGTTCCATTATAAAAACTATATATATGCTAGCTACATCTCACGCTACTTCACCGACTATTTCACTTTACACAACCGTGCGGGGCAAAGTGAAAAAAACAATGCCTGACAAACCCACGCATACCAAAATATATACAGTGTAGGTAAAATTTTAAGGTCGGTATGGTAAAATTTAACAGGATATCTAACGCAGATATAAAATCATATTTTCAGCGAATTAGACAAAGATAACAATCATATTTCCCCTTCGTCTCCCCTCCTAAAATCCTTTTAACACTCATTGGCCATTGCCCATTAGTGAGACGATTAGTTCCGATCAGATATTCTTTGGTTCCGATCCTAATATACCTAAAAAACTAGAGGTGGGTCCTCTCGTTTTTTTAATTTTTATCGGAACCGTTTTTCGTAAACTGTAACTAGTTGATTGTTTACCAGTATTCAAATTAGCGAGTACACAAACATATCGATACATTTTTTGGCAAAGTAACGTAAGTCACCAAAAACGATTTGTAGAAAAAACAATTTTTTAATTCAACCTGCTTAAACTTATTTAAATTATGACTGAAAAAACTTGTCCTAAAAAAGGTTTAAAATAAATCTAGGCTTACTACACTCTTTCAGTACCTTTTTAACAGTAATAGCATTAGTTTAATTGAAAAACATTATTTTCGCCAAAAATGTCACTTACGTTACTTTGCCAAAAATGTATCGATATTGGCTATTATCGTTTATGTGTATAAGTATTGAAATAAAAGAACCTAACGAAGGATATATTTATTGTAACTTGAAAAATAAATTAAATAATACAAATGGTACTTAAATACTTACATTTACATTACACATTATTAAATCGCGAATCGTCTAAATTGACATTTAAAAACATAAGTTTTTCCACTTTTCTTGTTAATCGCGTTCTTCTTTTATTTAAAATTATACCAGATGTTAAACATGTGTTCACAAGGAAAAGATTTTGTTACAATACTACAACATTTTATGAATATAGTGGTTAAGTTACGATATACATGGCGATGGTTTTTTCACCACGGTAATGGACAGTTCCAATCTCCGTTCGAAATTGTTTGTGGGTAATATATCATCAGAAAATTACATGTCGACTTCTTTTATACCTCTCGATACAGGTGTATGTTTAGATGAGTCATGTCCAATTAATTCATCAAAAATACACCATGGACTTAAGTCATCTTTATCAGTTTCTTTTCTTGGACTGATTGATTTTCAAGATTTACTAAACTTTTCGTTTCATCCGTTTTCCATAGTTAAAGAACCAGCTTTTAAAAAGTTTGAAGGGTGGATTCCTGGATATAAACCGCCAACAAGAAAAACTTTGTCAGGTTCATTACTTCAGGAATGTTATGTCAAAAGTGAGCAAATTATTAGATCACAAGTTGTTAAAGAAGTAGAAAATATCTGTATTACTACTGACCTCTGGACATCTGGAGTAACTGAGAGTTACTTCGCATTAACAGGACAATATTTAACCGAAAATTTAGTATTCAAAACTTTTTTATTAGGCTGCTGCCATTTTTCTGGAAACCATAATCCAGAAAACAGCGATTACTGAAATTATTAATCAGTGGGGTCTAAAACGAAAAGTAAATTTTGCAGTAACTGATAGTTCCTCAAATATGGTCAAAGCTATTAAATATGTTTTGTTTTATGATGATTGTGATTTATGATGATGATTAAATTTATTGGTGGGGGACGCACTTAAATGCTGTCGTGTACAAATAGATAAAATAAAAAGTCCTTTTTTCGACAATTCTGCAAAAAAACACATTTCAAAAAAGTACCTTATCTTCAGAAAGGCTTTTAAAGTATTAATTACAACAGAACACAGTTCCCAAACGGCCAAGCCAAGACGTGGAAACTAGGTAGAACTTCACCTATTACATGTTAAAAAGAATGACCGAGTTAGAAGAGGCAACCCGTTCCACATTGGTATTAAATAATACAGACTTAGACTTAAACCTAATCTAAATAAAGAACACTGGATTATTTGTTCTCAACTTTCCCAAATTTTATGGCCGTTTAAAGAAATAACAAGTACAATGAGTGACCAAAAATATTTGAATGCTAGTTCAGTGATTGTTATGGTACGCTGCCTGCAAGAATCTTGCAATAAAATTTTAGCAAACGGCATACTTACATCCATAGTATCCGACATAGTACAATTACTAATATCGGGTTTAGCAAAAAGATTTAGAGGGATAGAACAGAGTGGCACATTGTCATTATGTACATTTATGGATTCACGATTTAAAGTGCAGAACAAAACAACAAGTTAAGAAGCTGGTTACTTCTATAATTAACGAACAAGAAGATTGTACTATTGAAAATCAACCAGTACAAGAAAAAGAAACCAATAAATATGACTTAAGTCCATGGTGTATTTTTTAGTTTGTATTGTTTAGTTTATTTTTCAAGTTATAATAAATATATCATTAGGTAGTTTCTTTCACTTCAAAAGATATACACATAAACGATAATAGCCGTTATGTTTGTTTATGTAGGTACTCTCTTACTTGAAACTACTTTTAAACAATCATAGTTACTTGTTTATGAAAATTAAAATTTTTAAATGCTTTTTAGCATTTAAAAATGCTTAAATGCTTTTTAGCATTTAAAAAAATTTAAATTTTTTTGGAATCCTGAGAAAACTAACAAATATTTTTGAAAAATTTAAATACAGAATGAAAGATTACATTATTACCGAGGGACGAAAGTCCCTTAGAACAAAAAGTTTTTTTAATGAGATATTTGAAATAAAAATCACACTAAATTTTGTTTTTTTTTTTCATCCCTATAACTTATTAAAATAAACATTATAGAAGTTATCAGGGACTTTCGGCTCTCGGTAATAATGTATTGTTTCATTCTGCGTTTAAATTTTTCAAAAATATTTATTAGTTTTCTCAGGATTCGAAAAAAATGAATGCTTTTAAAAAACATTGGCCCGAAATTTTGCTCCTACGCTCTTAACGATAAACTAGCACGACCACCTTGACTTCTCGTTACTCGATCTTTTGACCAGACGACTATCTAGACTAGACGTTGCCAAAGAATTAGTGTATGAATATTTTTTAATGTGGCGTTATTGTATGCATGTTTAATTGTTTATTATTTCATATTGGGAAATTATTTTGATGTTTAGATTTTTAGTTCGGAAATCGTACTTAAAATACGAAACATTAATAAATTTTATTTATATAAAACGATTTCCGAAATGGAAATCAAAATGTTATATTACAATTATTGTAAAGAAAACTTGTGGCATATTCCCAATAAAAAAACAGTAACCTGCCATTTAAATCAATTTCACCCAAATTTGATTATCTTGAGCATTTTATCTTCTTGATAGAACATTGTTCAAATGCAAAAAAGACAACAGGTCAAATAAAACCGATAAGTTTGGCAACGTTGAACTTCCCCTTTTTTATTATTTCTAGGCATGAAGGTTCGGCGATATAAAGGGCGTACCTAATATACCTCTCTCTTTTTAAACAGCTGTTTCTCACTCCATCTCACGTAAGGTCCATACCGACCATAAAATTTTTCCTACACTGTATATATAGGTATATATATATATATATATATATATATATATATATATATATATATATATGTATATATATATCAACATAATAATCTTAAACGTTACTGTGATAACATATGTTTTTTTTAGAAAATTTTATTTTGAAAATTGTAAAATTTATTTATATTTGAAGTTCAGCTATTCCATTTTACCCCAATTTCCTCTTACTGTTACTGTGATAACATATGTTTTTTTTAGAAAATTTTATTTTGAAAATTGTAAAATTTATTTATATTTGAAGTTCAGCTATTCCATTTTACCCCAATTTCCTCTATTGGTGCAAGCATCCAACCATTTGGATGAAGTTGGGGCTAAAGACAAACCAGTGGAGAAGCCTTGTTTGTTTGAGACAGTTGATAGAGAAATACATCGAAAAAAAAGAACTAGTTTCTAAACAAGAGCTATGGAGATCTATGAGAGAGAACAGGGTTCCTAGAAAGGACTTAAGGATCCTGAAGGATATGTATGAGAAAGAGTACTCCAAAGTACGGACTTGTGTCGGATTGACCCAAAGTTTTCCATTAATGCTTGTTAGCATCAAGGTTCTTCACTATGTGATTAATATTTTTATGGAGTTACTGACAAATAAGGTAAGAGATGGGGTTCCTTGGTCAATGCTTGTTGCGGATGATATCGTATTAGTGAAGGAGAGCAAAGAAATGGGGGAAAAGTTGAGGTTTTGGAGAAGAGTAATTGAAGAGGGAGGACTTAAGGAATAGCGACAACTGAAAAGGTAAACAACGAGGAAGAAGACGTTGAAGAATATTACTTAGCTTTAAACTTACTTTCTTGGTCGACTTTGTTTCCACTTTGATCTGTTTTTGTTTATTTTTTTAGTTGGTAATTTCTTATCAAAAATTTACACGTTAAAAAATTATTAAATTATCTAAAACAAAAGAGAAATGGAAGAAGATAACCTGTTTAGCAAATATACCTACCATAAGTGCGAAATTGGTTCGCGTTTTCACTTTGCAAATCATTCCTCACCTTATATAATTTGATGGTTAGGATCACTACCAAGCTTGTTGAAACGTATTCCTACTAATCTGACTATAATATATTGTTTTTTCTCGTATATGTAATCTTACTAAAACTTCTACAGTTAATGGTGGAATTTCAAATGCCGCTTCATCTTGTTCAACTAACGAAACTTACACTCACAGGCGTAGAGAGTGTAGTCAGAATCCCAAAGTTGCCAGAGACAATCTTACTGACACACATACAACACACAGACATTATTTTTTTTAGAATTACCAAAACCTGATTAAAAACACTTAAATATTAATAATTTCTATAATTTGTTAAAATATCTACAACAAAACTAGGATTTAAAATAAGGAACAAGTAAAAAAATTACCACAAGTGACTTTAATAGTCGCCATAATTAGAGGATGGCTCATAGTTTTGTACCCAATAAGGATAATCCTGAAAATATCCGTCATAATCAACATTATAGTCACCAATTTCATTATAGTTATTATCATTTGTGAAACCATCATAATACATCATTACTTCAGGCACTGGCTGAACTTGAAATTCGTCGTAAGCATTGTAAACTTCAACAATAAAGACATCAGATTCAACATTTTCCGGACTTACCGTGATGGGTTTCAGAGGGAAATCCACTCTGGGAGCTTCTTCGAATGGCTTATTCAGAACAGTCACTATTTTCGATCGGGGCAAGAATCCGTCTCGGTAGGCTGTGAGCTTGTATTTGCCTGGTGTCAGCAATCTGTAGTAGTCTCCATCATGAACTAAAAAATATATGTGAATGTTAGTTTTATATTCTACCAGAATATGTTAATAATGTTTAACCCTTTGCTTTCCAATACGTATCACTGTGAAACAATCATCTTCAGCCAAATTTCTATAAGCGTTCCACAGGTTTGTCGTCGTCTCTATCTGTATTATGAGTTGCCTATATATACGGGGTCACTTGTAGCAGATAAGCAGGGTTGTATTTGTGAAAATTTCACATTATTACGACAAAACGTGTTTACACACTCCAAACACAGAACATACTCTAATATGAAATGATTTTAAAATTTATTTGTATCGTAGCTAACACGTTAGTCACTTCTCTGAAATTACATTTAAGTTACCAATAAATTATTTATTTCCGCTACTACAGCGACTTTGCATTATTTTTTTATCGTCGATAAAAAAACGGATAAAGGATTTTGAATATATAGGTATTTTTTATTAAATGACTATTAAGTCTAGATCTTTTGTGTAGTTTGTAAGATAAACATTTGATATATTTGATAACTTTATACAAAAAACTTTACTAATTTTATTAAATGATTATAAAATACAAAAACCAGGAAACAAAGACGAGATACAAAAACTTTCACAACGAGTGATAGTTTATAAATGAGGAGGAATGGACCGTCCGAACACGTGGAGATCGAAAGAAAAGATGCGGCAGAGGCTGTAGGACCACGTATTCGCTGTGAGCCGATGAGTAGAGAGGATTTGACAGTTTTCACCAACGCTGTTAGTGGCAGTTTTGTGCATTTAACTTGTAAACATTCAAATAATGGCGAATATGGATTTTTCAAAAAGAAAAATATATGATACATGTAAAAATACTGGGTACAACAGTCATTGTAAATTTTATTCATTTCCTGTTGCCAAGCAGAAAATAGTTCAAAGAGAAAAATGGATTATTGCTATCAATGAGAAAAATAAGTAAATAACCTATAATGCAAACATGATATTTGTATGGTATAAAATTAAAAAGCTATTATATTCCGAAACATTGCGTACATGCCCTGCATCAACTAAACCTTTTCCCTTTTTTGGTGTAGCTGGTTGAAATGGGATATCATGTGATATAGACTTAAAACCAGTATAATGTTTAATATCCATTTTGATAAAATTAAAAGAAATTTAAGAGGTGGAGGCCATAAAACGAAAGAAGAAGAAGAAGAATTAAAACAAATTGATATCTAAGCACTAAGGCCTACGCACACAAAAAATAACTGAGCCAAAACAGAATAAAAATGTAAAATAAAAACAAGAATTACAACGTTACAGAGGTAAAGGTAACTAAAGAATATAGACGTTTTAAGCGTCTATAACCTTAAATATTTGCTTTAAACCATTAAATATTTTCATATAAACTTCTTCTTTTTCTCAATGACCTCTTGCGTAAGTAGTCATCCAGTCGCAAGAACTTATATCTTAAATATTATAATTATAATGAATAAAATAACAAGGCGTAATTACTTTTACTATTAATTCTGTGTATTCGTTCATTAATTAGTTTACCATAATATTTCAGTTCATTATTTTGTATTTTTAAATAAATATCTATTTTTCTCGTTTTGTCATATTTCATTTACACTGATTTTACAAGAAAAGTACAAGTTTCAAACCGCGAGAGAGCGCTACCGGCGAAACTCACAGCGAATAATACAAGGCACAGCATATTGAAAGTGACAGTTGTTTCAATATTCTATTCATGGTTGTCATGGAAAGAAATGGTGATCACATTTAAGGATTCCCCACACCGACGCGAAACTTTTGCGACGCGAAACCGTTGCGGAACATTCGCAGGCGGAGCACTATTAAATTCATTATATATAATATATAATGAAAACTTACCATTTTCTCCTAGAAATGACCCTATATTATCCCAGACTTTATCCTTTTTTCTTATATTTTTATAATCTTCGTCACTTAAATCATAAATTATAGGATATTGTTTCACAATTTCAATTAGTTTTTCTGTAACAGCCATTTTAATAATTCACGCGAAACTATAACTTGCTATAACTGCAGCGGAAAAAACCGTGCATGCAGCGTTTCATGAAACGTCAACGTTGTTTTGCCGCGACCGTTCCGGTTTCCGTTCGAACTTGTCTGAACACATGCATTAAGTCGCCGTGCCTTACGATTCGCCGCGATTCCGCTGCGAAAGTTTCGCGTCGGGTTGGGGAATCCTTAACGCTTCATATAAATACAATAATATCTTACCTGAAGTTACGTCATGTTCTATATCATAAGATTTTTCCAAATCTGTAATGTTTCTAACATGTATTACTGCTCCGGGAATGCCACGTTTTGATTGGTTATCGTATACTACTCCCTTTACACCAATATGAGACTAAAAAAGGGATATATTTTAAAAGATGTTATATTTGTAATACTGACGTAATTATTGAGTTTTTAATACGGTTAGTGTCAGTCCTTTATCATTCGTAAGAATGTACTGAAGTTATGCTATTCGATTGCCTACTGCTGTTCACTCTTGTTAGTCGAAATGGTTATGAAAAGAAATTTTTTGGTCTTAACAACACTCAGTAGATTCTTATAGATGTATAGTCTTCTAATATATACGTTTTCTTTGGGTATGTTTTTGTGATAACTTTAAATAGAGATTTTAAAGGTACTATATCGCAGGCCTTTTCGAGATCTATGAAGATAAGATGCGTAAAAAGATTTCAACCAAGATTTCAACCAACGCTATTACTTGTAGAGTAAAAATATTTTTTATGCAGGACTGTTCTCCCAGAATCCGCTCTGTTCTTGTACTTCTTGGTACTTCGCCTCTATTCGTGTTTAAGGATTCGACCATATAACCTTCTCATCGAGCTAGTGACACTAAGGGCTGGTGCTTATATTCTAAACAACGTTATTAATTATCCCCCGTTATTAGACAATGTGTACTTAAACACATTATGCTCGTCATTTTTCCTTGCCGAGAATGCTCAGCTCTTGCAATGATCTCTTATTGAATCTTTTCTGTCCAAACATTAATGTTTTCAAAAGGCAACTTAAGAGTCTAATCATTAATCTAAATATGTGATATTTTTTTCCTTTTGTGATTTGATATAATGTTTTAATATACAAATGTTTACTACTGTTTCTTTGTTATTGTTTTGATGTTTATTGTATCGGGTGGTCCAATAAGCCGGTCCCTCGGCTATATAGCAGAAACTATTCATGTTATAACTTTAGGAGAAAAATGGCGCAAACCGCATGTTAATAGCTTTTGTCGAACACGAGACATGAATAAAAAATAAAGTAAGTATAGTATTGACTCAACCTGTATTATAAATAAAATTAAAAAAAGTTAGTAGGTACTTTCAAATTTTTCTATAGCAGAAGAATCTTAATGTTCTGTTTTGACCATTGTTATTTCATAATATGATTAAAAATAGTTTTTTTCGAAACTAAGTAGGCTACGACAATTAATTTGGTGGGGAGTTCATATTGTTTATTTATTGACAGCAGTCAAAACATCGTTAAGAAGTGTTATATTATAATTCGATTTGAAGATAGCACTTTTTTCAATAGATATTAATATTGGTAATATTAGTAATTAATTATCAGTACAAATAATTTGTGATGAGTATATCAAATTGTATGATATGATTGGAGTTTATTTCGAATGTCACCAAAATGCCGCTATTGCCTCACGTATATATATTCTGTAAGATAAATTGACAGAAGACGTTATGGAAAAGAAGTATTAGAAAGAAAGGCAAGAAGATTAAGAGACACTGGTAGTTGTCATCGTTCTTGTTTTAAACGACGTAGTAGAGGTATGACGGAAGATAATTCAATCAATGTTCTTGCTTTAATTCAACAGAATCCACATATGAGTAATCGGCAAATCTCTATAGAATTAAACATACCCAAAACTAGTGTTCTAAGGATTTTAAAACATCACAGGTTGGTTTTCATATTATAAAGTGAACGTTTAGGTCAGAAACTTGGAATTCCCTTTAAACTTTAGATTCGACTGTTATTTTAATATTCCGATAAAAACGACAACAAGGCGCTTTTATCCTTTTACGCGTTTCTTAAAAATACTTATGCATGATTTATCTTGTGAAAGAATTGTCGATTATTCAAGATTTTTTAAGTTTTAGTAAATATAGTGGTTTATTTTTCACCAATATTTGTTGTTCTGTTTGTTAGACTGCATTCTTATCATGTAGTTCTCCACCAAGCTTTACATGAGAGATTTTGATGCAAGGCTGGATTACTGCAATTGGATGTTAGGTCTGCTAGAAGAACCGCCGCATATCATGTTAAAGATTTTATGGACAGACGAGGCTACGTTTAATAGTGCGGGTGGTGTTAATCTGCATAATATGCAATATTGGTCTGAAGAAAATCCGCACTGGATACATGAGGTGCAGGTTCAAGGTAGATGGAGTCTTAATGTTTGGTGTGCTATAGTTGATGGATAGATCGTAGGTCCATATTTATTTGATAGAACTTTAAATGGCGAAACATATTTGGATTTTCTGGAAAATCAATTGCCTGTTTTATTGGAAGATATTTTCTTACAAATAAGAGGAGATATGATATTACAACATGACGGGTGTCCTGTGCACTTTTACAGACGAGTTCGAGATTATTTGTATTATACAAGATATCCAAATAAATAGATTGGAAAGGGAAGTATATTTTGGAAGGAAGGACTTAGTGTACCAAACTCGACTAACCACTCGAGACGACATGAAACAGCCCATTATAAATGCAATAAATAGTATATCAACAGCTGAGCTGAAAGCAGCTGTTATGTCTACGCGCGAAAGATTACATCTTTGTGTGGACAACGATAAAAAACAATTTGAACATTTAATTGGACATTAAGTTTTAATGATCGAGATATTTATGATATTTCACATATTTAATTTTAAGTTATAATAAAGGGTGAGTCAATACTATACTTACTTATGTTTATGCGTTTTTATTCATATCTCGAGTTCTACAAAAGCTATTAACATGCGGTTTGCGCCGAATTGTTATGAATTTAATCCAGTTCCATTGTAATTTACAATAAATAGGTGTTTCCATTAATCATTTTGAAGAAAAACAAATTTTAATTTTTTCTATTCGAAAGTACCCTCTACCCATGACAATTAAAACGAAATGCAATTGTTTTATAGTAGATGTAAATTTAATCATCCACACTCGTCCTAATGACACTAATTTCGTTAAAATCTGTTGATCCAAACCAAAGTTATCCACAAATACTTTCCCACCCTCCTCCACGCTTTATTTGAAAAAATAAAAAAAGTACCTATACAACTTTGTGCAGAATATTTCACAAAAAACTGGTTTTCAAATTTTTATTCACAGGTTACGCCCTCTAGCGGTTAACCCAGAAACTTGAAAGTTATTTCCAGCAATTTCTCTTGGCCACTTTTACTAAGGAATTTTTTCTCCTAAAGTTATAACGTTAATCGTTTCTGATATATAGCCGAGAGATCGGCTTATTGGAGCAACCCGTACATGATCTTTACTTTTTACGATTTGTTGTATTTTATTGTAAATCGTTTTACCGTTTAAATAAATTAATAAAATAAATATATAGGCTAAATTCCAATCTGTAAAAATATTTTACTCCTATGACTATACAAGTTTGCCCATTTCTGTAATGATCTGCTTGTCTACTTCCTTCCAGCTTTTAGTGTTTTTTTTTTAGTCTATTGCGGATAGCAATGGAAACTCCTCCTTTTGCTCTTACATCTTTTTCAATGCCGCTTAGGTGTTCTTCCAGAATGTGTCATTAAGCTTTGTTGTCGAACTTCTTCTGCAACATCTCCGTAACTAGTTATATCTATTCCCAGATATCTAAACTTTGCTTGCTGCTTTATTCTTTTCCCATCAATTTCGATTTGTGGGTATTTAGATGTTGTCATACATTTGGTTTTTTCTGCTGATATTATCATATTGTATTTCTTGGCTGTTGTATTGAAGGTGTGTGTTAATCTTTGGAGGTCGTCTTCTGTCTCGGCGATTAATGCTGCGTCGTCTGCGTAACATAATATTTGGAGTTCTTTATTCCATATTATTTTGTCCATTATTATATTAAAGAGAAATGGGCTTAACCAGTCATTCTGTCTGACTCCGCTTTGTACTGATGTACCTACACTGTCTTAGTTTTCCATTTTTCTTTACCTGTATTCGATTATGGAAGTAAATGTTTTCGATGGTTTGTATAATATTAATTGGTATGTTTCTTTTACATAGTAGGTGTCGAAAGCCTTTGTCAGGTCTATAAAACATAGATATGCTGGTTTATTGTACTCAATGGCCTTTTCTGTGATTTGTCTTAGTACAAATACGGCATCTACGCAGTATATTCCGGATCTGAATCTTTGCTGTTCATCTGATGAAGTTGATAAATGATTGATTTTGTTGTTTAGGACTTTTGTGGTAAGCTTAAGTGCGGTGTTCAGTATATTTATACCTCTATAATTGTCGAGGTCTTTTTTCTTGAACAGGGGTATTATTATGCTCTTTCTCAATGCGTCTGGTATTTTGCTTTTTGCTATAAGCTTTGCCATCTCAAGGGTTATACTTTCTCCTCTGCATTTTAGAAGATTGTTGGTTATTCCGTCTGGTCCTGGTGACTTTCTATTTTAAGTGAATTTATGGCTATCTCTACTTCCTGAAAACTGATTTCTATTTTGTGTCTTAATTCAGGTACGATATTATGTTGATTATTATTTTCGTTTCCCTTAAACAGTTCCGTCAGGTATCTTTCCCATTCGTTTGCTGGTATGTTATTGTATTCCTTCAGTTCTGCCATTTCTTTCCGTTGGTTTCTTATGAATCTCCATATTTGTTTTTGTGTACCATAGAAGTCGCTTTACATCCTTTTTGTAAACTGTTTCCACTGTTCATTTTTCGTTCTTTTTGCCAACTGCTATGTTTCATTTCGTATTCTTCTACAGGTGTCTCGAGATTCTGGAGTATTTAATGTTTTATACTTCGAGTAGGCCTCTCGTTTTTCTTTACATTTCTTTTTTAATTTTTTTCAGAACCATGGTGTATTGTTGTTGTTTCTTTTGTTCAGTATAACTTTGCCTTTTGCTAGAGCTTCCGTTGCTGCTTCTTCAATGTTGTTTAATGTTAAGCGTGCAAATAAAGCAAATAATTGACGAATGTACTTTCCACACTTCGTCGTATGCAGTCGAATATGCGAATATGAATATTTATTAACGAAGAAAAACTTTTTACTTAAAAAAATAAACTTCTTACGTATGAAACAAAATGGACAACAAGTACAGACAGAATACGCGATCAACGTAGAGTTAAAATATTAATATATTAGCAAAGTTTTTACCTGCCATATAAAGTTAATAAGAGCATCTTTATTCCTCTCCCATTCAGGTTGTAATTCAGATGCTGGTGGATATTTGGCACAGCCTAGCTCCAAAGTTATTTCCATATCATTACTTGAAAGATAATTAAAATCTTGCATACCTAAAAATAAAAAAATATGAGTTTAAGATAGATAAATTCCAATTTCCTCCGAAATTTCCGAAGTGAAAATCGAAATATCAAACTAACGTATGGTCCTAAAGTTTTGGGAAAAATTTCACCTGGTCTGATTGAGGCGCAAAATGCATTTAACAAAGAAGGCCATGGAATTGAGATGTCATCAGTTATTAACATTTAATAAATAAAGCAGAATATTTTGGTTTGTGCTTTGCAAAATGTCTTATAAAATTGATATTCGTCGAGGTGTTTATATGGATGGGCAAATGTCGAAACGAGATATTGTTAATATTTATCGAGATCAAAACATAAGCAAATCGACAATTTATCGCACAATCAGAGAATGTGAAGAAGGAATACCATGTGTTCACTTGCGTAAAAGTGGCCGACCGCGGATTTTCAACCATATAAGAGAGGCAAGACTGATTGAAGCAGCTATGAACAAAATTGGGGTCTCACAGCGAAAACTGGCCAGACGATTTCATGCTAGAAAGACTACAGTATATAGGACCCTATCGAGTAACAATATTATCTACCGGAAAAGAAGGAAAGCTCCAAAATACACAGATGATCAATTAAATAGAATTCCGAGATGTTGCCGCGCGTTAAGGTCGTCGTCGGGCGCATGTCGTCAACAAGTTGATCGTGATGGACAATGAAAAATATTTTGTTCTCAGCTGCTTCAATCAGTCTTGGCTCTCTTATATCTCAAGTTAACACATGGTATCCCTTCTTCACATTCTTTGATTGTGCGATAAATTGTCGATTTGCTTATGTTTTGATCTCGATAAATATTAACAATATCTCGTTTCGACATTCGCCCAACCATATTATAAACACCTCAACGAATATCAATTTTATAAGACATTTTGCAAAGCACAAACCAAAATATTCTGCTTTGTTTATTAAAGTCAATAACTGATGACTTTTAAATTCCATGGCCTTCTTTGTTAAATGCATTTTGCTTCTCAATCAGACCAGGTGAAATTTTTCCCAAAACTTTAGGACCATACGTTAAGTGTATTTTAAATTAAAATTCTCATTAAATATAGTTAATAAGATAAAAATTTTATAGTTAAATTATACCAACCTCCCTGTAGCGCATACCATTTGGCTCCGTTGGTTATACCATCTTGTTTAGGGAAATCTTGGCTTTCGTAGTCACCGCAGCCTTTTCTCTTTGGGTCTGCCATATCGGCATGGTAAAAGGAATATGATAATGCCAAGTGTCTAAAATCACAGAAGTAATTACATCAAATTGAAACTACCTAAATAATTCATATCAATAACATTTCAAATAAATTTACCTAAAAGTGTCGTCATCAGGCGTGGCACTATATTCTCCATTTTGTCTGCCAGATCTACTATCGTCATAAGGGTAATTAGCTACAAGATCTCCTCCATGTAAATTAGCAGAAAGTACGAAAGGAATTTGCATTATAAGACGAATTACAGCTTTTGTTTCTGGCTGAAGCTACAACATCAAATTTTCTTCAGTTTCGTGTGTTAAATAAAAGAAGTGTATGCAGAATAAAATATATTTGCTTTAAACGTCTTTTATAATATGTATGCTATTGCGCACGCTAGCTCTCTCTCTCTCTCGAGCGCGCGCGCTATGTGACGTCACGTGTGAAGCAAAGTTTCTATTAGAACATAGGTGCGCAGGCAACGCAGCGTAGGACAGCACAGGTTTCTGTTTTCCGTACAATTACATTACCCCGCGCGAATTGGAACGCAGGACAGGGCAGCACAGAACTGTGCTTAAGAAAACCTGCCAGCGCAGTCGTCCGGACACAGATTCCTGATCCTTCTGAATAACTTAATTCACATTTAAAATTAGAGAAAATTGTTTTAAATAAATGTGTTTCCATACAATGTTTAAGTAATGAATCCGGCCGGCAATTCATTATAAAGAATATTATTTTCTTCAGCATAACTAATAGCTTTTCCCACAGAATTTGACAATAAATAAACTGCAGGTCTCACTCTTTGCCTCACAGAGCATTTTAAACAGAAATGATGCAGTGTCAATTTATGCGCAATTGTCAATTCTGAAGTTGATATATTTAGTAGCGCTTCAAAGTAATCCTTGTCAAAGCTTCAAATCAATTACATGATTTCGGGCAAGTTTAATCAAATGTGGAAAATCTGCATAAACAAAAATATTTAAAGACTTATTACAGGGGTGATTAATCTGTAAAGACAATTCATCTTCCGCACGATGCACAAATACATCTACCGGGACAGGAAATCCTACATCCCGAACACCATAGTTTTCTGTACTGTTGCTTCGCAGGTGACGTCATGAGCGTCGGAGTACCTACACATTTCTTGAGTAGCATATCGGTATTTGTGTATCGTGATTTATATTTACATTGATGTTTATGACAAGGTTGTCGAAAAAACCTTTTGCTTTGTTCTTTTATACACTTAATATAGTCCATTGAAAAGTTTAACTTTTGCAATTTTATTTTTTTGATATGTGAAGGTTATTAGTACAAGCTTAACTGTAAGTTTGTGGAGTGGCCACCCTTGTACCCCGGCCGTCATCTCGAGAAAAAGGAGGCAAAAGGTTTTCGTATTGTATCTTGGTGCGACAGTACAATCATATGTATTTTCACCATATAAAGAGACGAAAAAACGTTCGCCAATAACAGTGAGCAAAGATGGCTCCGCCCCTTTCCCTCTTTTCCAAGATGGCGTCCGGGGACTAGAGTGGCGACTTCACAAACTTGAACTTAAGCTTGTACTTACCCTCCCAACACATCAAAGAAATACAATTGCATCTTCTAAGAATTCTGCACGCTAAGGCATAAAAACGTAATATTTTAATACACTAATACATAATGTAGCTTCTTAACACCGAGAAATCGAAGTTCCAATAAAAAAAACCATGATTAAGGGCTTAATTGTGAACGCTATAAAGACCTTTTTAATTAATGCAAACAAATATTTCTTACTGGCTGATCCAGATGCGTCAGATCCTCCAATAAATGGTTGTTGTGGTTGACGTGTTGCTCCTCGTTCGTAAAAATGATCCTATCTAAATTGGGAAAGTTTCTATTTAAATCCACTGAGTTGTTGTTTGTCCTTCCAATCAAATAATCCTGTCCACCCTGAAATATTACAATTATAAAGAATTTATCATCATAAGTAAGATTAAATTAAATTAATAATAGTTTTGGATAAAATAGTTGGCAATGAAAATAGCAACTTTTTTGAGAATTCTCTGGTTGTCGTTGTTGTTTCTCTGGTATCCGTTTAATTCAGTAGGTATAATTCCATCATATAGTGGATCTTCGTTTTTTTTCAAACTTTTCTTTGAAAAATTCTGTCCACCTTTGTAGTATTTCACTCTGTTGAGTTATATATCTACTTCTTTGTTTCTGCACATCATTCTTCCTGGTTTAAATTGAAGCTATTAGTGCATGAAGGTGTTAACTCAGTTTTTTCAAAAATGCCAAAAATGGTATGCATAAAAGTGTTAACTCATTTTCTTGCTTTAGTAAAGACTTTGGTGCATAGATGTCGCTAGAGACCCTAAAAACCAATGTTGAAAACACGTCAATTCAAGCTTTGTCTAAAGTAGTCCGAGCAAGAAGGTGTTAACTCTTGATAGTTGTACAAGAAGGGGTTAACTTGCTGTATTCAGTATACATTAGTTTGTTTATATTATGCACGTGTTTTTTGGCGGTGCTGTATTGCTGTAAATTGAAAGTGAATTTTGTATTTATTGTGTTGTGCAAAAACAGTAAGTACTCCTTTCACATTATTTACTTAATATTATCGCTAAACTTATAAGAATAAAAAAACTACTTTTTACTTTTATACATAACCTCAAAATGAAAAAAATACTCTGAAACTGTGTAAATAACGATAACCAGGGTATCTTGTGACCCTACTGGAGAAATAACTAAAAAAGATTAATGGGCAATTCGAAGGTAAATAAATCGTTTTTAATAGCTGGATATAAAAATGAAGTTATTGTTAAGAACACTATTAATAACTAAAAAATTGCCCAGTGGAAGTTTCCTTCTACAGACTGTATTAAATACGAATTAGTTTAAACATGGTAATTGACAAAACTACGGAAAATCTAGAAATATGTCAAGAGATATACCGCATTAGTTTTAGGTATGCTTATGAGATTTATTTAAGTGAAAAATTTATTTGTTTTAAATAATGAAAATTCCATTTTTCTACTTACGCTATTAACTATTACAAAAGACTCATATGTAAAAGGAAATAAAGCGTTCTAGGAATTTCTATATTTACAATTTTCTCAACAACGATCAATTAGCAATAACGTATATTAGCATAATTATTAATTAATATTAGCATAACATATAATGTAAGTATAACCATAGAGGCAATTGGTGAAAATGATATGTACAAATATCTCGGAGTACACAAGCGCGAAAAATTGACCATAAACTAATGAAAACCGAAGTAACGTCTAAGTTTATGCGAAGAGTAAGACAGCTAAATCGGTCATATCTTAATAGCAAAAATTTGTTTAAGGCATTAAATACGTACAACTGTTCTAAACAATAGCTACGACATTTTTAATGTCAAAATAGAAGCTACTTTCAATTTCATACGCTTTCATTTGCTTCATTTTCATTTGAAAGAGTAAAGATCTACAGTCCCCAACTGTAATAGTTCTTGTGCGGTTCACGTCATTCATTATCTTATCTGGTTCCATATATTCACCAATTTCATAAATTAAAACCAGCTGAATGATCTCATAGATATTGTTGTCTTATCTTTGCACCGTCCAGATAGCAAATATCACTAGCGTAACCATATTGTATAATATTTTACACCATAATTCGTAAGTTTTATGCGGTTAGTACGTACCTGGGTATCTCAAAAATTTCTGAAAGGGTGTGAAATGTTGTATTTTAAATTTAAATACTGATAGCTTACTACAGTAAATCTTTCCAATAGCGATCACCCTCGGGGAACCCTGAATTTTACGTTGTTTGCATATTAAATATAATTTTAATTAATTGCAATTTCAATTTATCAGAAACATAATTGAATACAATGATATCAAATTAAGAATAGGTGCATAGTTTTTTTCGACACGCTTTATAGTAACATCTTCATACCTTTTAATTTATTTTAAAAACATTAAGATTCATATTTCATTTAAAGCTTAGCAATGTTTTTTCAAAGCTTCAAAGTTTTTTTGAAACTTTAAAAACACTGAAACGAGCGCATATGTTCTATCAGATTGGCACTGAAACTACATCAGTTGGAGTCATCGTTTTTTTGTCCACAAAAACCAGGCGAAGAAGATAATAAACATTCAAAGTGTATTATCTAGAGTGGCATATCTTATTCAGAAGCTGAACTTCAGTAGATATCAACTCAAAGTTATCCAAGTATACGCTCCATCAACAGACCATACAGACGAAGAAATCGAAATGTTTTATGATGATATATCCTCTACGCTTAAAGACTTTCGCAAATTAAGTTTAAGGGAGGCCTATGTCCAGCAGCGGACGTGATAAATAAAGGTTGGATGATTCTGATGATTATAAATACTTGTACACATGTCAAAATTGTTAAATTATGTCATTAATAAAATACTTTTCTAAATCTCTGAGATTTACATAGGCTTCAGAAAGGCTTGATATATTTAACGTTGAAAAAACTTCAGGTTCTTCTTTCTCAAGTTCAGAGTTAGGGACAGTTTCATTTATTTTTTGTACTTCTTCAATGCAGTCGTTGATGGCCAATTCTCCATTTTCTGTTAGCACATCACTATCAATCAAGACAAATTGTTCTGAATCCACTAATGTGCGATTGATCGTAGGAAATAGTTTTGCAAGTAGGATATTATCCTCGTCTTCAAAACTATTCGCAGATATATTACAATAAATCTAGGTTTAAGAAAGCATTTTTAAAATTCATCGGTCACAAAGTAGTCAAAGCTGCTATAGCCCATATCAAGGCGTTGGTTATGTTAATTTTTTTCTTTATTTCTTCATCTTCTTCTTCTCTCTGTTTATAAGCAATTCTGTTTAACAAAATCCACAAGGAAAACAATTCCTGTAGCTGGCTGTATACCAAGTATCACAAAAAAAGGGGTTAGTCTTTGTAAGTGGGTATATTTATTTAAAAACAAACGTTTTCGGACTAAACAGTCCATCATCAGGTTTAAAATCGCTAGGTTAAAATGCCTGAGCCACCAAAATACATGGGTAAAAACCATTTAAATTACATATATTTATAAAAGATTATACATCTTGTTGTTAAAAAACTATGATGTTCAGTATTAAATTAAATATGACTTCAGGTAACATACATTGTAAAATTGAGTTCCAGAGCCGGGGAGAAAAACCTCTACGCACGGAGAACAGCTGGAAACTTATGACTGCTTAATGTTTCCAGCTTTTTTTTTCAATTCTGTTTGTTCATTGATGGATTATTACCTCTATAGAAGGTTGTCACTCCAACTTCAACGTCCGATACTTGTTCTACCGATTACTGACTTATATCTCGCTATTTTGACGACACAAGTCTCCTCTATTTTACATATTATGGTGTTTTGTTATCAGATATACGTGTTTTCATTCGGATTTTCCACAATACCAATTTATGATCGCTTGCTATTTCTGCTGATGTTAGTGCTCTTACATCCAAGATTTGAAAGGGCTGTAACTCTCTATTCGACAGAATATAGTCTATCATAGATCTTCGTTCTCTACTGTTTTAGTAAGTATATTTGTATTGTTCTTTCCAAGAGAAAAATATATTATTAATACGTATCTCGTTCATTATTTCTTGAAGAAGACAACCACTGACTGTTTATACAAGTTAAAAGCGTCCTTATAAAGTAGCTCGTATATATCATTTTAAAATTCTGGTTAATACCTTGATCCAAGAGTTGGCAATGTGAGGTAGTATTTGGTAGAAGAAAAATGAGTTTATCATTATCCAATAAAATCTTAGAGTATGAAGTAGTATAAAGAAGGAGAACCATTCAAGAAACAACTTATCGATGTGTGTCCCTCGACACAAGAACAGCACTTTAGGGGGGCATAGTCATCAAAAGAGGTACATAAAAAAAAATTGGCAGACTTTGAATTTTAGTGTTACAGAAGAACCATACGAATACCGTGGATTCAAAGAGTGTCAAACGTGGAACTCATTATATAAACCAAAGTTCGAGGAAAGCGAAATGTGGGAAGAATATCCTAGCTTTAGAACCGTGGGGGATGATTTGAATGCAGCAGCTCAGAACCATTTAGAACGGCAATCATGAAGATCAGCGTAGACAAGATAATTTCTAACCTTCGATAGATGATGTAACTTAAAGAAAAAGAAGCACTGATAACACGTACAATCTTACAATTCGGCAACGCTTTGAAAACTAAAAACTCCGAACTCCGTGGCGTTACAAACCTTCGTGGGTTTTAGCCGACTCAACAACATGCCTCCACTGTTTTCTGTCTCGAGCAACCTCCATCCAATTCTCCACGCCCATAGTGCTTAGGTCTCCTGCTATATTATTTCGCCACCGGAGACGAGGGCGTCCACGTAGTCTCCTTCCAGTTGGGACTTCCTCCCACACCAGTCTTACTGTTCGTTCGTCAGAATGTCTTTTGAGGTGTCCTGTCCATTGGAGCCTTCTGGACTTTATTTCTTTTATGATGTTGGCGTCTGGGTAAAGTTCTTCGAGCTCTTTCTGAGTTCTTATCCTATATTGTCCTGATGCTTCCTCCAGCACAGGACCAAAGATCTTCCTTAGGATTTTTCTTTCCCAAACACATAGTCTCTCTTCGTTTGCCTTTGTTATCGTCCACGTTTCGCTTCCATACATCACAACGGGTCATATGATTGTTTTATAGACCTGTATCTTCGTACGTCTTGTTAGTTGTTTCGATTTTATAAGGTTTTGGAGGGCAAAAAGACATCTGTAGCCGGCCTGAATCCTGTTGTTTATTTCTTGTGATCCGTTATTGTCTTCAGCTATTGTAATAAACTATAATAATAATATATATAATAATCTATAATAAACGCTCTATGATATGTTACATCCTTGTAAATTAAAAATAAAATCATTACAGGATACTTCACTTATTGTATACTGAACGGATTAATCGATTCTAATTAATTATAAATTAGTAAGTTAGTAATTGTGAAAAGAGATTTTTTACTAGCAGAAAATCCTGCGTCAATACACACAACGACGCTAAAATTACTTATTATACTATATTAATATATATTTTAATTATACTTAGAGTTAATAAAATAAATTAAATTTAATTACAATTTGTTTATAGATAATTAAATATTAAGAAATAATTAACTTAGATTAAGCTGCTTCTATTAATGAAAACCATTTTATTTTATAATTAACTTACAGTATCAGTTGCCAGTTGCCATCCATCAGGATTCATGCTCGGCATCAGATGGATCCTCGTCGTTCTGATTAAGGACCTAATTTGTTTATTTCCCTTCATATACTCATCGCAGAGGAAATCTGCCAGCTTGAGCAGCAATTCCCTGCCCAAAACTTCGTTTCCGTGCATATTAGCGATGTATTTGAACTCAGGTTTAACTGAAAATAACATTAAATTAATAATTAGTAAAATAATAAATATAATTTTTACAACATTTAATAGTTTTACTTAAAATCGTAAATTTGTATAAACTACATAGATGACAATTTATTATTTTCATTATCATTTGAAAACACTTAGATCATATAGAAAGACTCATGGAAGAAATTCTCGAAGAAAGATGAAGGCTAAAATTTTTTAAATTGTAATTTTGCAACTAAAGGCATTTTTAAAACACATCAATAATATCCACCATAAAATACAGTTTCTTATGAACTGGAAGAAAACGAACAACTACGATTTTTAGATGTATTAATAATAAAGAAGCAAGACGGACACATCGGATACTCAGTACACCGAAAATTCACAAATACCGACAGATATCTACATGTCGATTCACATCACCATTCTGCACAATTACATTCTTCAGTCATTAAAACCCTGATGACATAATCCGAAAGACTGGCAGACGAAGAACATAAAAATAATGAAGTACATAATGTGAAAACAGCGCCAAGAAAAAACGGTTTTTTAAGATGTACCATTGAAAAGGCTCATAATGTTCAGGATAGAGTTAAAGGTCCAACATAAGGCCATTCTACCATATGTAAAGAGTACAACAGAGAAAATAGGAAGGGTGCTAAGAAGTCACAAAATAGAAACGATATTTAATACCGACAGAAAATTATTTTACCATGAGCCAAAAAAAAACATTTCGTTAGAAAATCAAGGAGTATACAATATTACATGTGGGGACTGTGACAAATCGTAGATCGGACAGACCAACCAAAGAATCAATGTTAAACCAGAATAACATCGAAATGCCATCGAAAGGAGAGAAAAACGTCGTGCCTTGCACAAAATGTCTTAAACACAAGACATACAATAAACCTGAAGCAAACTTTATATTATATATTATTATTTTTGATCGTGGTTTTCCAGCAACAAAGCTTCAGCTCATTGATTCTGCAGAATTAATTTTCAAACTTAACAAACGTAAAAATAATTTCAAAAATTGAAGACCTGGCAAAAAGTGGTATTCTTGCTTTCTACAAAGACATCCAGAGTTGACACATAGAGTCATGCAAAACCTAACCACCGGGAGGTCATCTGTCAAAGAAGAAAGTTTACGCCGCTGGTTTAGGGATATTGAATCGTTCCTTGAGGAGAATAATTAGTACGACATTTTTAATGATCCTAAAGGAGTATTCAATGCTGATAAGTCGGCTTTTTATATGAAGCAAAGATTCCGCTGTCTACAGCTATCTACCAAATGACGAGAAAGAGTGCCTTACTGTTCTTATGACAGCAAACGCAGCAGGAAACATTGCCCCAAGCATGGTGATGTTTGCTTATGAAAGGATTTTAACGAGAATATCTGCTTCTATGCCAAAATGTTTTGCAATTGGTATAAGTGAAAGTGGATGGATGACCGTGGAAACTTTCTATGATTATATAACAAACGTCAACGAATTATCGAGACCTTCCTCTAAACATCAAAACTATCTTCACTACTCACTCCAAGTTGTCCAATCTCGTCAGATACATAAAAGACCAAATCCCTAATGAAGCCCATGGTGTCTACGAGATACCTTGTTCCAGTTGTCCACGTACATACATCGGACAGGCAAACCGACGAATCCATAACCGTATTTACGAACATTCTATATCAGTCAAACATTCTGATACTACTTCAGTCCTAGCCCAACATCATATTCAAACAGGCCACAAAATAGATTTCGAAAAAGCAAAAACCATCGCCCCCATCCGCTCCTTAAAATCAAGAATCATTCGTGAAGCTATCGAAATCGAAAAACGGCCTAACAGCTTAAATACGCGCGATGACGCAAAACGATTGCCGGCCACATGGCGACCCCTGCTTCAGCGACCTCCCGCCCACACCGCTCAGGCCACGTCAGCTCAAATCACGTCAGCGCATACCGTTTCCACGCATACAGCGCGTATAAAAGCAACGACACAGGGTAAGACCGGTTGTTACTCGACACTGAGGAGTAGGTAGATTGATACCTCAGTGCCGAGAGACAGTTCTTCTATTTATTATACAGAACACGATACTGGTACGTCGTGAGTGAGGGAGTAGGCAGATTGAGACCCCGAACTCGAACCGAACCGTATCACTCTTGATAATGGCTCCAAAATGGGAGCCGAAACGTCGAGTAATAAATTCTCAACATTCTCAACGCGGAAATTTATCCGAACATATATATATATATATATATATATATATATATATATATATATATGTGTCTGTAGTTTTTAATGTATTTCACGGAAATTTGTCGTAAATGTATTTGTAATCAAAATATTTCAAAACTGTGCAAAATGTAAAATAAACTAACAATCAATGATAGTCAAACTATTTGTGGTAATTATAAAAATATGTAACAAAGAATGTTGTTATTACTTTTCGTACAAATATGTTATAATTTCAAACTAGGTTCTAAATGTTATTCCTTTAAATTATTATGCAATGGTGTCTATAAACTTTAAGGACGTTTTTACAGTTTAGAAGAATTTGGCGTTCTAAACACTGATGATAGAAGTTACATTGAATAAGTTATTAATAAAAAGGCAGGCTTTCTGAGATACTTTAGCATATCAAGTCACTTAGGGCTCGATAACACGCAAAGAGCCCCACCAGAGCTCAATCCTTTTGATACTGTAAGTATCTGGGATGGGTGGAATCTTCCCTTTATAGGGAGTGAGAGCCGTGTTGCATCAATCTGGACATTACAAATCTATGTTAAAATTTTGTAGGAGTTATTACAGCCGACAGGACATCTAAGCTTTCATAACGTAGAAGGAGTACCAGAGCATTTTTATACCGTAGGTATCGTGGATGAGTAAGTTTTTCCCGTCTTCTTGATTATCCGAATCAGAAGATGTTGGCTTTGTCTCATAGTTTTTGTCGTTGTTCTCATCAGTCTCAAATGAGTCCGACTTACTTTCAATGTCTCAAAGGTTATGGGCTAAATATTAAAGTTCCTTTTTAGAAAGGCCTTGTTTCGACATGCTGCAAAAAAACCAATGGGTTAAATATATACCTTTTAAAAATAACACTGGGATATTATTGTCCCACTAGGGATATTCCTAGAAAGTCAGGAATTTTTCTAAAAAAATACCATACTATAGTCCGTTTAGAAAGTATCCGGAAAAAAGCAAGCAGAGTTATAATTTTACGGTATTTATTTCAATCATTTGAAATATGTATAAAATTTCAACAAATAATTCGTCCCATTTACTTATATAACCTCCATTTAAATATAAACACTTAACTTAATCTTCTGGTACACCCGAAACTAGGTCAAAGCCATAATTTTCGGTAATGGTGTTACAGACCTGTAAAACTGATCGAATCAAACCTTCTTTATTTCGTGGCGCTGCTCGTCCCACTTAATTTTCATCAGTACCCATATGTTTTCAATGGATCTGGAGAAGCTGCTGGCCACGGAATTGTTCCCAATTCGTGTTCTTGCATCCAAGCTTGAATATAACCAGAAGTATGACATCTTGCATGATCTTGCTGAAAACGCCACCCCTCTAGGTAGAAAACATGAGTCGTTTCAAAAAGAAAACCATTTAGGATGTCACAATATTTCGCACTATCAACAGTACCATAACTATACAGAAAGGTGTAGCACCACACTGATACATTGTTCCCCAAACCATTATTTCAGTGGGAAATTTGGAAATTTGAACGGTAACATTTTCTCTTGATAGGACTTTTAAATGATTTGCACCAAGCTGGAAACAACTTCATCAGATATAAAGACTATAAGATTATTAAAATTATCTTCCCGAAAACGTTGACAAAAATCTATTCTTCGTTGCCTTTGCAGAGGTGTCATTGTGGTGATTTTTTTTGGATTAAAGCCACTAAAACATTTAAATTGTTTACGTGAATCTTACGTGATTTACCTGAAACTGGTCTGTCTCACATCTATCCCATTTTTTATCCTTTTTATTGTCTCATACACTGCACTTTTTCCGAGTTCAGTCAACTGCATTAAATTTTTAACGTTTCAGTTACCCTTTCTATACAAATATTCCACCACTTTAAAATCTTAAGTCTGTTTACAAACAACAATATTTGACAAATGGTGTTGTCATGCAATTTTGTCCATAACTTACTATCGGCACAACCTACTTGATGCATTACTTTTGTCTTAAAATCTTATAAAAAGGAAATCTATTAAAATTAGGAAAAATATAAAATTCCGGATACTTTCTAGACGGACTATATATTAGAATATGGTATATTACTGATATAAATACAGAAAAATATTCTATTACTTTTCAAAAACCTCTATGAAAAAATAGTAAAAAGTAAAAAAATAAATCTGTAACTGACGCTGGAGGTCACGCAGTATATTATCAATACAGTGGTATTTTCTTGCTTTTGCACTAAGAATACCAATAAAGCAAAACTGCGTTTAAATTGGGACACATTTGAACCAGTACATATTTTTAAACTTTTAGTGGGACATATTTATCCATAAGGGACCGAAAGGGTTAAGATGATATAAGTACAAATCTTCAGAAAAATACCAAAAAATAGGGACCAGAAAAAGCTTTTGGTGGCTCCTAATGTCAATTTTCCGGTCTTTCCCGAAAAAAACTTTTTCCGCAAATCGCCAGGAAATTTTGACATTCCTGTCAAAATTTCTTGAAGAAAAAGTCAGGACTTCCTTACTGTAAGGAAATGTCATTTCCTTACTGTAAGGAAATGATATTTCCGTACAGTTGTTAGTGTTCTACATAAATGATAGAAAACACATTGCTTATAAGGAATTAATTTATGTTTTGAAAACATCAAGTCATTGCTGAATACATTTTTAAGATCAATTTGTTATATTTACAGTAATTTGACAGTTAGTACAATTATTGAACATTGGAGGAACACTCTTAAAACTATGAGAAACATTTTGGACAACATGCAGGGTGAAAGTGTCATTTTGTTGAATATTTTGTACTGTGAAAATTTTATTTGCCACCTCAACCTTATTGTTAAGCGATTCTTCGATATATCCTTCAGCAACGTTTGATGACTTCCATCCGCCATGCCTCTTTAAACTAGTTATGTCGGCACCAGAGAACATTTTATCATTTTACTTTCGAGAACACCAGCAATTAAATTTATAAGCGTCAAGTTTGACAATTCAACCTCAATACGTTTCCATAGTAACCCAAGTAATTTTATTAGGAATTTCAAAGCACCATTTATTTGGGAATAAAATTATCGCGTTTTTTTTTTTAAATCAATCAATATCTGTCGAATTTTAAACGATTTGCGGAAAAATAGTATGTTTACCTCGTAGGAAAAGCCACATTCCTGGACGCTGTGTTGCTAAGTCGAGGCGCAAGCCGAGAAATCTTCACAGTCGTCCAGGAATGTTAAGCTTTTCCTACCCGGTAAACAATGTACTATTTCTAGACAAAAAATTGTCCAGAAATGTATATTTTATGGTGGGTCTTGAAAAAATTGAATAATACCTTATATATGTGAGAAATAAATAATAACATATTATTTTTCGATATTTGCAGATACTGTTAAAGCACAATGCTTTTAACATTCACCAATTACTTTATTGTAGAATTAAGATATTGCTTCTTTTAATTTGTTTTATAATAATTATCGCTGTAAAATAATGGCATAATAATAATGTTTAATAATTATTTAATCAATTAATTCTCAAAAGGTGTATTTGATCATTTATACATGATATAAGTATGCAATAAAAGTTTCTTGAACAATAAAATTAGATCGATGTGTATAAAAAGAGGAAGGAGATTTTAAATAGATTTGTTATATTATTAATTAAGTTTTACCATTTAAATTTTATTAAATTATTAAGGAATAATAAAAAAATAATAATCAAGAATGGAATGGACCATGTATTCAATTTGAGATTTTTCAAACACAGTTTTGCATATAGCAAAATTTATCTTTATTTAGAAATATGTTTCAGTCACTACAATATATTCTCATCGGGATTTAATATAAAATATATATTATATGATAAAAAATAATGATGAAAAGTTTACAAAATTAAATCACTGATTCTCTTTTTATCCCGTAGACAACTTACCAAAATTTTTGGTTTAAATAGACCCTATCCGCTCCGTGCGTGACCATGGTAGGGGTACATTGAAACGATGCCAGCGTGCGTAACGGCGAAATATGACAAAATTGGAATATTGGACAAAATATTTTTACGCATAAGTTTTATCAAAAATGTGTGCAAATACATGTTGCGTATTTAATTCTGCTAATAGCAAAAACAGTGAGTGTAGTTTTTATAGGTTCCTAAAGATTACATATAAATTAGAGAAAAGAAAAATATGAATTCGTGCTATTAAGATGAAAAAGTAAATATCACATAATTTCATTTTTATGCAATTGAAATAGGAACAATTTAAATAATTTACCTTGAATGATATTTCATAAGGCTTCAAGCTAACTGCAGATGACTTTAGCTTTTATATCATAACTTTTACTATTATTGTTTTTAATTATATGCTCTTTTGCGTGAAAAACTTGATTTGCCAGTACTAGATTTTTCGCTTTCTTTTCCGTTTGGAGTTGAAAAGATATATTATGATGAATTTTGAGAAACTCAGTTTTTAATACTACATTTATTTTGTACATAAACTGAAAAAATATAGTTAAAAAACTAATTTATTAATAATTGTCAATTTCGCATGTATTTAACAATGCCAAACATATGTCATATATTTAACCTGAAAATTGGGACTCCAAAATTGTCAGATGAAGGCGGTAGGTGTCGCATCAGTCACGCACGGAGCGAATAATGACGAATTTTTTGAAATTTATTCTAAGCGCTCAAGTCAATTTAAGTGTCGAATAACTGTTTGAAATGTTTTTTTGGAAAGTTTCCTAATCAGCGCATCGCCTCTCTAGCAAAGGGATGGTGAAGGCAATTAAATTTTATAACTTTTTCGTCTGGGAATGTATCGTAATATTGAATATCGTAATAAAAATATTTGGTTTATGTAGATATAGTCAGTCGAATTTGTACCACCGAAACAAACTGAATTAAATAAAACTTTAAGTCACATTTGTGTATTTTAATACAAAATAATTTTTTTGTAATAGAAATTTAATTTTCTATTTTTTCGAACTAGGGTCTCTTGAGACAATTAACCGTAGGACATTCCTAACATAATATTAAGAAAAAACTTGAAAAAACCTTGAAATGTATTTATATTTTGAAACGGGGGAAATACCAATAAAAATTTTCGTATTCAAAGCGGTGTCCGATAAAGGTGTGTTATGTTTCCATTGCTCTTCAACTTATACTCTGAATATATATTCAAAGAAGAACTAGAAGAATCCGAAAATGTTATATAAAATAAACGGTAAATATATTGATAATAGCAGATATGCTGACCATACCGAACTGTTAGTAGAAAGAATAGAATACTTCAAGAATAAAAGCAAATTCTAGATAGAAGTTAGAAAAACGTAGAAGCAATAAATTAACTACTGATCCCAAGGATCTACTTTAATATTGGAGAAACTACACACAGCAAATATACTCAGACAAGACTAAAAGAAACTCTGAAAGTGAATATAAAAATGAATCCTCCCTCAAAATATTGAAGTCAAAAGTTGTAAGGGCAATCAAACAGAGCAAATGGAGAAAAGCACCGGGCTTAGACGACATAAGCATAGAGGTTCTAACAATGTTGAGTGAAGACAATATAGACGCCTTGGTAGATCTTTTTAATGACATTTCTAGGTCCAGTCAAATACCACAGGATTGGCTTCAATTAACCTTTATACCAATGCCAAAAAAAGCCAAACGCTAATAGTTGCGACCAATTTCGAAGGATCAGCTTATTAAGCAAGGTCTTTAAACTCTTCTTAACGATAATTCACACATAAGAATATAAAACATATGTGAAAAAGACATTAGCCCCACACAGTTCGGTTTCAGATAAGGTTTTGTCACAAACGAAGTACTTTATAGCTTAACTGTCCTACTTCAGAAATACAGAGATTAGCAAAAAGATGTCTTCCTTCCAAAAAGATCTTTATATATTACCAGAAAGCATTCGATTGTGTTAATCATTCAGAATTAGTAAGATTGCTTCAGGAACGTTCGATAGATGAGAATGATCTTAAAGTCATAAAGAACCTTTATATGAATCAAGTGACATCTGTGAAAGTAGGACCGGAATCTACATCATATTTCTCAATCGAAAAAAGTGTACGATGAGTTGTGGTTTGTCACCCCACCTTTTTAATCTTTACTCTGAAACAATTTTCGATAGAGCCTTAAGTGACACTAAAGATGGAATCAAAATCAACGGACAGACTATTAGTAGTCTTCGCTATGCTGATGATACAGTCCTAATAGCTGATAGCTAAGAAACGCTTCAACGACTAATAGATAGAATAAACACCGAAGGAGAACGACTGGGCTTGAAGATTAATATAGACAAGACAAAGGTAATAGAGGTTATTAGAACACGAAATATGCAAATAAATATAAGAGTAAACAATAAGAACATCAAAAAGGTCCTCTAGTTCAGATATCTCGGTAGTTGGATAACTGAAAATCTAGATCCAGACATAGAGATACGTAGCAAGATTGATCAAGCCAGAACAGCATTTACTAATATGAGAACCTTGGTAAGCAATAGCATCCTCAACTTAACGCTTTGATATAGCTTTGTAAAATGATAGATTTACTTCATACTGCTATATGGTGTAGAAACCTGGACCATAAAGGCCAATGTGATAAACCGATTGGCCTTTGAAATGTGGGTATTTAGAAAACTACTGAAAATTCCCTGGACAGATCACATAACAAATGTCGAAGTATGATATCGAAGACTTAGATGGGCTGGCTGGATACGTTGCTAGGAAGTCAGATCACAAATATACGAAGAGATTAACATTTTCAAAACCAGAGGGCAAAAGAAGCAGAGGGCGACCATGAACGAGATGGATTGATCATATGGAAGAAGAACTACAGATTCTAAGGGTCAGATGATGGAGGGAAGTTGCCAGGAATCGACAGGAGTGGTGACTTCTTGGATTGTCGAGCCACTTTGACGATATGACTCTTTAGAAAATACTAAAAATTGAACAGGCACTTTGCCCATTAAAAGGAACGAAGAAGAAGAATATAAACATATATTATTCTAAAGAAATATTCTGCTGATAAAAGGCGAAAAATCAATGAAAAAAAAACAAACAACAAAAAAACAAGTCTTAGAAGAAAAACATTGTAACAGTACATGAAATATAACTGTTTCAAATGTTGTTTACTAATTTTAATGGGAATTAACCACAATTTCAGTTAAAAATCGTTTTCAAAGTATAAATTAAACAAAATATTAAAAGATTAATATATTGTAAATAAAAATTGTGTTGATTTTGATATCATTACGTAAGGCTTTCCTCATCCGAATCCCGCTTGTTTACATATTTTACAATATTTAATCTATAGCTAATTGTAATAAAAGGCACTATTCCTATAAATTGACTATAGTTAACTTCTATAGGATCCATTAATCGTATATGTTTTGTATAAAAAAACTTAAAAGAATACACCACTAATCACTAATAATTTAATGAATATGTAGCAGAGGCTCCCTTATATAGTTTTATTCATATTTAACTCCAAATAACTAATTTACTTACGAATTTCATGACGCCCTGGGTTAGTAGAGAACTCGATGAAGTAAAGTGGCAACCCCAACACGGAATTCTCGCTCAAAGTGTAGATCCTAGTGATATTCGGGCATCTCGCGTTCACATCCTGCAAAACAGCCACCAAATCATCGTTGTTGTGATGTTTAAACTCAAACTGGAAACTCTGTGCTGACAGGAGAGCTAAAACCAGCACAAAACACCGCAACATACTCGACGAATCTCCAAACTAAAGTGTTTTCGATACTTTCGCAGCTTTTCCAAAGCTAGCGTCGCAGTTGCGCGATGAAGCTTTGACTATTATATGGATTTTCCGGGTTCTTACGCTGAAGAGGCATGGTTGCAGTTTTTTTCGACAGTGTCTGGTAAACAGGTTTCGGTTTTATTCGAAAATAATTAGGTTTTGGTATTCAAAGGTCGTACATTTTTAAATTGTCAGATCAATTTGACTTTTAATTCACAGACTATTATTGCTAGACTTGTTTTAATTTACAGGTTAATGTTTTGATTAATTAGATGTAGTGTTATTATCAGCGTGCTTCCTGTTTATACGGGATGTGTAAAATTTGATTACATCACAAAGGACAAATAAATAATAATATTAATCAAATATACTTTATTATTATTAAATATATAAATCTCTTTTGTTATTTACATGCAATGTCAATTACAGTAGGGACGTGAATCTTCTCCGTACTTTATTAATACAGAATGACAATTTAAAAAAAATCAGGACTTATAATGGGCAATCCTCTAAGCACATTGCTATCAGATATTTTTATGGATCATCTAGGGACAATTAATTACTATTAAACTCAGAATAAGCCACAATTAAAGATAAAAATACGTTTATTGACGTTTCAATTTTCCACTTCGGAAATCGTTGTTTTTTTTTCCGATTTCCGAAGTGGAAATTGAAACGTCAATAAACGTATTTTTATCTTTAATTGTGGCTTATTCCCAGTTTAATAGTAATTAATTCACAATGCCACAAGAAAATAGCTTCAGAAGAATATCTAGGGACAAAGATTTCAAAACATCAAGTATTTAAACCATGGACGTATAAACACAGATGGACTCAGTTATTTACATAAAATTGTGAAGTCAAAATTATTTAAATAGGTCACATTCTGAGCACCTTCAACTGTTGTCACGTTTTGTTTTAAAATTTCTTATTCGCGAGTCGCTGAAAATATTACTCCGTATTTTATACTCTACAGGTGCTATCAAACCAAAATAATAATTTATTGGTTATATTACTATATTTAATTGTAATAAAAATATCATGTATGCATATAGTGTGCATTACCATTTAATACTAGCGTATAATAGATATCAATCAATTATAGTTTATTCGTCTTCCGGGTTTGGACCGTGTCATTTGTGAGTGACCCAAAAGTGGGTTCATCTCGACGTTTCGCTACAATTGTATGTAGCTTCTTCAGGAGAACAAAGAAAAAGAAAAAAGAAAACAAAAGAACAGGAAGATGGGTAGTTAGCAACGGTAACTCAGTTACTCAACGCAACCAGAGGCGAATACTAACTACCAAGATGGGCATTTGGTCACAGTAACTCAACTACTCAACGCAGCCAGAGGTGAAAACCAAATGCCAGGACAGGGATTCACGTCCAACAGCTCAGAACACTAACGCGTCGAGAGGCGGGGAGTGAATCCGACGATTACTCCGCTACCGCTCTATTTATAGTCGCGGTGCCTGTCGTGTCGGGACGTATCGGCACACTTCGTGGCGCGAACGTCAAGAAGCGCGCGCTGGCCAATCATGTGGCTGCATCGTGGTGGCGGGACCGGACGGTGGCTCTAGACTGAGATTCCAGATGGGAGACAAGTAGTATCCTTCCTCTCGATTGATATTATGGGGATTTTTTCGGATCTCTAGAGATTCGCGGATTTTCCTGGAATAAAAGAAGGGGCTCTTAGAAATAATATGGGTTTTTTCGAACAATATGGAATGACCGGTTTCTTGGCAGTGTTCGGCAACTGCAGAATGGGAGAAAAGACCTGATCGAATGCATCTTTGATGCTCTTGAATACGAGTTTTGACGGAACGACCAGTTTCGCCAATATACACATGTCCACATGAACAAGGAATAGAATAGACACCACAGGAAGATAGGGGCGGTAATGGGTCCTTAGGAGAGGGTAGATATTGTGAGATTTTCTTGGGTGGTCGAAAAGTAGTCCTGATACCTTCTTTGCGAAGAATTTTGCCAATCCTATCAGTGACATTTCGAATATACGGAAGAAAAGCCACAGGAGTATTACCCGAAGATTCTGAATTTGTTGTCCTAGGGTGTAAAGGGGGATGTAGATGTCGGTGTGTAATATTTTGAATTGTGGACTTGGAGTAACCATTGGCGACAAGGGTTTTTTGCAGATGGCCAAGTTCTTCTCTAAGGTTGTCGGGTTCAGAAATCGAAATGGCCCGATGGATGAGAGAGTTGATCACAGAATTCTTTTGGGCAGGATGGTGGTGTGATGAAGCATGTAGGTAACGATTCGTGTGAGTCTTTTTTCTATAAACAGAGTGACCCAATCGGCCATTGGGCTTGGAGGTGACTAACACATCGAGAAAGGGAAGGGACCGATTATTTTCTACTTCCATTGTGAATTTTATACTCGGATGTTGTGAGTTAAGATGATCTAGGAAGGAAGAAAGGGTATGTTGACCATGGGGCCAGATGATAAATGTATCATCAACGTAGCGGAACCAGACTTTTGGTTTTAAGGGGTAAGATTCTAGGGCTAAAGACTCAAAGGCTTCCATGAAAATGTCAGCAATGACAGGGGAAAGGGGAGAACCCATTGGTGTTCCAGATATTTGTTTGTAGAAATTGCCTCTAAAAGAAAAATATGTTGAAAGGAGGCATTTTTCGGCAAGATCTGCTAAAACCAAAGACTTGTTATCATTGGTCAAGTGATCTCGCAGAACAACTAGAGAGTCATGTATGGGGATATTGGTAAATAGGGATGATACATCGAAACTGACGAGAATATCTTGGGGATCGACTGTGAGAGAGGAGATTAAGGTGATGAAATGTGTGGAATTTCGGACATAAGAAGAGGTACGACCAGTATAGGTCTTAAACTGATTGGACAAGTACTTTGCGAGTTTGTAGGTAGGAGAGTTAATCGTAGTCACAATGGGACGAAGAGGTACGTTATCTTTATGGATTTTCGGAAGACCATAAATTCTGGGGCAGATGGAGTTTTTTGGAACTATGGACTTCTTAACATCATCGGAAAGATCGGATTGTTTGATGGCATGGGAAATTTCGCGTTCGACTCTAGGAGTGGGGTCTCGAGAAATTGTATTATAACAGGATGTATCCCTAAGTAAGTCGTTTACTTTCTCTATGTAGGAAGGAGTATCCAGGATGACTGTGGCATTACCTTTGTCTGCAGGAAGGATTATTATCTCAGAAAGAGAACGGAGATTTTTGAGAGCTATGAATTCCTCACGAGATATATTGGAAGTAGGGATTTTGGCTGTATCAAGACATTTAGCGACGTCAAAGCGGATACGGTCGGCTGGAATTTTGGGAATTGTGCGGAGTGCCGCTTCCACATTTGAAACTATTTCTTCGGTAGGAATTCTGGAAGGAGTGATAGCAAAATTAAGACCTTTAGATAGAAGACTGCTTTCTGCACTTGTTAATTGGTGAGAAGAAAGATTAACGACGGTGTTAATGAGAGGTGAATGAGAAGTAGAAGTGGTGGAATGTGATTTTTTCTTAGATACAAGGGATTGGAATTTCTTTTTGTGAGTTTCGTTGCTTAGAAGAAGGATTTTATCGGCTTGATGATAGGAAATGCGGTCTAAAAGTGACCAATCATCGACACTAAGAATACTGGAGAGTTCAAGATGCAGCTTAAAAAGTTTTTGGGATTGAAAATTAAGGGTTTTTCGAATATGTTGAATCCGTTCACGAAGTAGAGATAGGCTGGCTCGATGTAGAATTCGGGAAGAAGATGAAGAGGAAATGTGATGTTTTAGAACAAGAAAATTGGGAACCAAGTTATTATCACGACATCTAGAGAGGAAGGTGAGAGAAGAAAGTAGAGATGAAACTTTAGAGCGAAGATTGGAGAACTCTGAGGTTTTCTTGTTCTAAATTTTCTTGTTCTAAAACATCACATTTCCTCTTCATCTTCTTCCCGAATTCTACATCGAGCCAGCCTATCTCTACTTCGTGAACGGATTCAACATATTCGAAAAACCCTTAATTTTCAATCCCAAAATCTTTTTAAGCTGCATCTTGAACTCTCCAGTATTCTTAGTGTCGATGATTGGTCACTTTTAGACCGCATTTCCTATCATCAAGCCGATAAAATCCTTCTTCTAAGCAACGAAACTCACAAAAAGAAATTCCAATCCCTTGTATCTAAGAAAAAATCACATTCCACCACTTCTACTTCTCATTCACCTCTCATTAACACCGTCGTTAATCTTTCTTCTCACCAATTAACAAGTGCAGAAAGCAGTCTTCTATCTAAAGGTCTTATAATTTTGCTATCACTCCTTCCAGAATTCCTACCGAAGAAATAGTTTCAAATGTGGAAGCGGCACTCCGCACAATTCCCAAAATTCCAGCCGACCGTATCCGCTTTGACGTCGCTAAATGTCTTGATACAGCCAAAATCCCTACTTCCAATATATCTCGTGAGGAATTCATAGCTCTCAAAAATCTCCGTTCTCTTTCTGAGATAATAATCCTTCCTGCAGACAAAGGTAATGCCACAGTCATCCTGGATACTCCTTCCTACAAAGAGAAAGTAAACGACTTACTTAGGGATACATCCTGTTATAATACAATTTCTCGAGACCCCACTCCTAGAGTCGAACGCGAAATTTCCCATGCCATCAAACAATCCGATCTTTCCGATGATGTTAAGAAGTCCATAGTTCCAAAAAACTCCATCTGCCCCAGAATTTATGGTCTTCCGAAAATCCATAAAGATAACGTACCTCTTCGTCCCATTGTGACTACGATTAACTCTCCTACCTACAAACTCGCAAAGTACTTGTCCAATCAGTTTAAGACCTATACTGGTCGTACCTCTTCTTATGTCCGAAATTCCACACATTTCATCACCTTAATCTCCTCTCTCACAGTCGATCCCCAAGATATTCTCGTCAGTTTCGATGTATCATCCCTATTTACCAATATCCCCATACATGACTCTCTAGTTGTTCTGCGAGATCACTTGACCAATGATAACAAGTCTTTGGTTTTAGCAGATCTTGCCGAAAAATGCCTCCTTTCAACATATTTTTCTTTTAGAGGCAATTTCTACAAACAAATATCTGGAACACCAATGGGTTCTCCCCTTTCCCCTGTCATTGCTGACATTTTCATGGAAGCCTTTGAGTCTTTAGCCCTAGAATCTTACCCCTTAAAACCAAAAGTCTGGTTCCGCTACGTTGATGATACATTTATCATCTGGCCCCATGGTCAACATACCCT